TTAGTGATTTTTCTCTGTTACAAAAATTAAAATATTCTATAAAAATCATACTCGTAATAAATCTGTGGGGCTCATGAGGGAGTTGTGTGTTGGATAATATTGTATGATTAAGCTAGACTTCATAGAAATAGACATCTTTATTTTCTTGCTTCCTCTGGTCCACAAAATATTGTATATATTGAGAGGTTTTTGACTTTCTTTGGTGCAAATGTGAATGTCTCAGTTGTGTTGTCCAGATGTTCTCTGTTTAGTATTGTAATAAGGAGTTATTGAACTTACTAGAACAGGTGTATTCATAAAATCAAAAGAAGATTGAGTACATACAAGATTTATATCAGTTCTCAAACTTTGGAATGAAGCATCTTCCATTATTATTTTCCATACAGTCTGCAGTTTCTGCATGTTCACTTCAGACAGCCAGCAGATCATTCTATAAATCAAACAGTTCAAACATGATAGGATGATTGTCCATATTGGGGAGAACACCCCTATTGATTTTGGGATCACAAGGTCAAAGTTCAAGGTCACTATTACCTTAAAACTGAAAACAGTTTCAGGAGCATAACTTACTAAGTTCCATCTGGCCCACAATATTCAAACTTCATAGGAGGCTTGCTATTTGAAGGAGATAATGCTTCATCTAATTCTCATGACTTACAAATGCTTTATTTTTTTACTAAAAAAAGAAGAAAAAAAAACACTTTCGGGCATATAATGCTCTGCCTAGTGGTGCTCTTGTTACAGTTTAAATTTCACAATATTAAGTAATATCCAATAAGTTCTTTTACCAATTTTTTGTAACTAAATTTAGAATGTTATCATTAACGTCAAAATAGTCCGAAAGAAAGAAAACTAATGCATGCATGAGCATTAATGACAGCTTTTATACTCTTTATAAGTCCTTGAAAAAGTCATGAAATCCGTGAGTATGCTCCGTTATAAAAGTAAAATGTCACAAACATACTCCGTCTTCGATTGCTCCTCTTATGAATCATCATGTACAAAATGCTCCACTTACTATTAATAAACTCCACTTAACTGGCATAGATAAGATTTACTCAATTTCAGAGATAAAATAAAAACAAATTAACAAACAAAATAAAAGAATATTTTATCACGACACTCCCCTCGAGAAAAAAGATATTTCCTTAAATGTTGTGTATGCACGTATATGAGAATGTCACTTCTTATAACTGTCAATAAATTCAATACTCATTTTAGATTTGATAAATAAGGTCCATTGGGTTCTGTATATAAGGATCTATATTCTCAGAGAAAATGTTTTTTCTTGAGTGTAAAAATGTTTTTCTGTATTCATAATTTGGGATGTGTGATCTAGTTTTTGTATATTGCAACTTGAGCTAGAAACCACCGAAACATATTTCCAAGATATGTAGGCTAAAAAAGTTTCCTCAAGAGTGTTAACAAGGTTTTTCCATATTAGGGCTTAGTGACCTAGTTTTTGACCCCAGATGACCCATATTCAAGCATGAGCTAGAAATCCTGTAATAAAACATTTCTTACCAATTTCCAAGATATCAAGGCTAAATTAGTGTCTCCTCTAGAGTGTTAACAATTTTTTTTCTTTATTTGGGCTGTGTGACCTAGTTTTTAGCCCCTTGTGGCGCATATTCGACATTGTGTTCTTGTCAGTGTCACACTTTGGTTAAGTTTATGGGTGCAAGTTAGTATCTCCAAATTTACTGAAGGGAATGGGTTGAAACTTCACACAATCATTTGAGAGCATAGAAGGTCACTATCCAAGACCCTTAAGTGTAACATGAATTTTGATAGAATGGTGGCCCTTTTTTAAACTTAAAAAAAATTCTACATGTTCTAGGCTATTGTTTACTATCAAACAGTGCTTGCTGCCCTACCAACAGCTTTTGTTCTTTGGAAAACTCTCTTAACTGAATTAAATGATTACCAAAACCTTATTATTGGCGATTACATATTTTTGATTTTTAGCAGAATTCTTTAAATTTGAAAATAGCTATGATTTTGTTAAGCAGCCATTTTAATGTTATGGAGTAATCTCTCTTTTTCTGAAAGTACAGAATATTTTATTGGAATGTATAATCTTCTACAAATATAACTGAAACTGCAATTAGTCATTGTACTTGATCAACATTTTAGGAGTTGATGACAATTTTTCCTTGATGGCCATGATTTTAAACTTATGCCTTAAGGACATGTGTGTCGCCATACTTCCATAGTATGTATAGATGAGCATAGTATTAAGTACAGCTATTTTAAAATGTATTTTTTATTACTTGATTTTGCAATGTAGATCTATTACTGCATAAATAAATTATGACACTTTTGTAAGTGTAAGTTCTATATTTAAAGTTCTAATTCATCAATACCTTTATGTTTTGTGAAATATTATTTTATTACTTTGTGTACCTAGCTTTGCTAGTTTTGAGCCAGGTGAAATTGTACAGACATGCACTAAAACTGACCAGACTTGATCATGGCTGTTTTAGTTTACATGGGTTATTATTAAGACCTGGAAAAGAAACAACATACAATTTAAGACTTTGCATGCTTTCTACTATTTATGAGGGTAAATTCTAAATTATCATTAATGTAATTAATTTTCACTGTTTTGCTTTTTATATGAAAAATTATTTTGTATTGTTTATACTTTTTATGTGAAAAATTATAATGTGAAAAAATGTTCATTCCATTTAATTGTGTATTACATGAGTATTACAAATTGTCAATGTTAACATTATCTTCATCTAGTCATGATTTTATATTTATGAATTAATCTTATGTGATTAAAAAAGAATAAAGATTGTTAATTATATTTATTGTGTTTTTGTTTTTAATTTGTATGAAGAGATGATAATGGATAGGTCAACAATGAGCACATTTTCCATATGAGCCGCGTCACGACAAAGCCAACATAGTGCGTTTGCGACCAGCATGGATCCAGACCAGCCTGCGCATCCACGCAGTCTGATCAGGATCCATGCTGTTTGCTATCAGTTTCTCTACTTGTAAAAGGATTGGTAAGCGAACAGCACGGATGTGCAGGCTGGTCTGGATCCATGCTGGTCGCAAACACACTAAGTTGGTTTTGTCGTGACACGGATTATGTATTTCAAATATTGAGAACTACCAAGTGCTACACATTAATTTTTATAATGCATTAGTAGGTCATTAGGTCATATTCAAGACTGTCCAAGTTGAAAGCTAATCCTATTTGTGCAAATAATTGTACTTATAACTGTCCACATTTAACTGTTATAGGTTAAAAACTCAAATTTTTATAATTAAAATATTTTTTTCACTCAAAATGTTTTTAAAACATCTAATTTTCAATAAAACAAAAAAGGAAAATTGTTTTTAAAAATTTCATCCATATACATGTATAACATATTTAGATGTTTTAAAAACAATTTGAGTGAAAAAATTATTTTAGTTATAAAAATAAGTGGGCGTGATTATGCACATATGTACTATCCAAGCCACACACCGACTACCCGTGTTTTAAAGTAAGGCAAATTCCTGCTGCAAGGTCTTGTTTTGTGGATAACAACATACATCATGCTGTCAAAAAAGCAAACCACTGAGAACCTTGTGCTCAGGTGAGCTAAAAATGAAAACCTTCCTAATATTTGTACAACCAAGACTAGATTTGCTGCAATTTTTCAATTTGATACTAATTATTTGGTGTCAAAGGTAAGATTTTTCATTATCTGGTCTCCAGTCATATTGACAATGTTAACGTCATGTAGCATGATGCTGTGACCTTCCAGCTTTACTGGTACAGGAAGACAAAACCATGCATTAAAGGAACTTCACTGAGGTCCTAGAGCCTAAAAACATAAGATTTAGAGAGCAACTGGTGCACTTACAATGGAAAAATATGCAAGATTAAAAGAAATATACTCTGAATTAATTTGGAAATCAAATTTTACTGCAATTCTTTTGATTCGAGTTAAAGGCATTCAAAACGCTTTTAATTTTTTGGGTATTTTTGGAGAATCAAAATGACAGGTAAAAACAGTGTAAGCGAATGTTCCGAAATTTTGCACACAAGGCCTTATCAGATTGTATACAAATCTGGTACAAATTTTAGTCCTTTTATGTGAAAAAATCTCTGTGGAGTTCCTCTAATCCTGGCAACTGGAGAGAACGATGAACTTTCTCCATAATTTTCCTTGCATTGTTTGACTAATTTGCAAGTTTTTGAAAATACCAGGATTGAAAGTAATAATGAGACAGCTCATGTTGCATAGAGTTTAACATGCTAAATATTTAAATGTACATGTCAGCTTCCATTTTTGGAACTTTCACACCTGAAAAAAATGCTCGAAAAGATGTGATGCAATATCTGTAGATATATAATTGTACTAGTATTTGTTTGTTATGTTTCAAGTTACTCCAACACAGGAAAGGTCATGTAATCAAAACTTTCCGGCTGTATAAGAAAACATGCATTTTTATAGCATAAGCAGGTACATGTACCTTAAGTAGAACCACTAACCTTTCTAAAGCTGACATAGCCTTTTCAAATATAAAAATCTGAAGTCCCTAATGGGATTGGAATGGAACCCACAGCAATAAGGGGTAAAGTAATTAGTTGTCAGCAATCTTGATTAACTAACAAAGACCCCTCGCATTACAACTTATAATTCAGTAAAAAGACCCGACTTCTCTTTCGAAAGACCTAAAATACATGGTGTTTTCAAGTGAGTTATTCTGAAGCCAAAGTGAAACAGCAATTTTTGTGTAATGTTAACAGCAATTTTTGTGTAATGTTAACAGCAATTTTTGTGTAATGTTAACAGCAATTTTGTGTAATGTGTAGGATATTTTTCTAATATTGAATTTGTGTGCTTATGGAACTAATAACCATGGTTTATAATAAGACATTGAATTAAATTGAATCATGACAAAAGCACAGAGTTCACAATCTGTCAGATAAACATCTCCAGCTATGCTTTGATAATGAAACCAATAAATATTTTGATAAAATAAATACGTGCTTAAAGTATTTTTAGCTTTTATTTCTCACTTGTAAAATAAATAGTCAAATGTAAATAAAGTCACAAATGAACATTGATCATGACCAAAGATTCTAATAAGTTTCTATCATTTCAAATGATCTGAATATTTAAAAAAAAATAAAAAAAATGCATAATTAAGACATAACTTAGTTAATACATAACTATATTTTTTGTTTGTTGGATTTTACATCGCACCAACAGTAAAGGTCACATGGCAACTTTCCAGCTCTACTGGTGGAGAAAGATCTCAGATGCCCTTCGGTGCATTATTAAAGGCACAAACGAGCACCTAAGAAGAAGCATCGATGTTCGGTAAGGTAGCTGAATAGCTTGAAAGAATTCCTGTTGTGGTTGAAATCCACAGCAGTGAGTGGCATAATTATCATATTTAAGCCAAAACATAGATCTTCCACTAATTACTGTTTCTTTTTCACACTTTCTTCAGTGCTGTAACAAAACTACTTCTTTCTACACTTTGACATCTCTTTTATATATTCTTCTTGGAACTGAAAAGCATCTGTCATTTGTTCATTTAATGTTAGACTATTTTGGTTTTGATACAGATGATTGTGTCTGGGATACATACTATAGTCATATGGATAATTCTGGTGATAACTTGGATGATAATTCTGGTGATAACTTGGATGATAATTCTGGTAGGGATAATACAAAGATTGTGACTGATCCTGCCAGCCTGAAAAACTGTAACCTTGACCGCCCATCTTGCCAGCCAAATCATGTTCAGAGTTTCCGAACGCCCCTGGGTAGCCGCACATGTTCATATTTTGTTTATGCCAGTCTTCGTACTGTTTGTACCATCTTTTCCACTGTTCCTGGTACGAAGGTCTACTGTAAACTCCACTATCCTCTGACCTGCTATCACTCCTGGCATGATCTCTAGAACTTCTAGCTCTATCTGCTCCCCTAGATCTACTGTCAGGAGATTTTCTAATTCTTCTGTACACATCAGGTATGGCATCAATTTCTCTGTCAGTTGACTCGGAATCTGTTGTAGAGGACACAGAATCTGAGTGAGTCTCTAAATTTCTTTCTATATTAATACCAACAATATTTTCTCTCATAAAGCCTTCACCCACTTTGTCTGGCTCTTTCCTTAAAGAAAATGTACTACTTGGTGTTTCTTTATTTCTCAATGAAGTTACAGGCGCATTAACAAGTCCTGCAAGATTCTGTTTTGGAGGTGATTTTTGATCACTTGTATTTATATTGCCTAAAAAATGGTCTGGTGGTCTTTCAAAATTCTCAGAAACAACCTCATCAGGAATATTCTGTAACCTAGTAGTGATTGATACATCTTTAATCGTCTCAACCTTGCCTTGAATAATTGTGACTGCTTGACCTGGCCTATCATTTGAAATATCTGACTCTAATTCCTGATCTCTCTCTTGCTGTAGTAAATGTCCAATTGCAAAATTACCTTGGTAACCAAACCTCTGTTTTCTGGGTTTCTGGATGTTTTTCTTGAATGTCTTCTTTGGCTTTTCCATTTCTTTCTCTTGAGGTTCAACAAACTTGTTTTCCGTAATTTCTGCACTTTTTGAAGCGTCTTCTACCTGTATTGTACTAGTAAAACTACTGTTGGTATTCAACATTTCTTCTTTTGCTTCAAATTCATCTTCTGAGCTTATACTCTGAACTTCTAATACCTTCTCACATTTCACTTCAGGAGTTTCAACAGTATTTGCATCAGGTGTACGTATATGAAGGCGGTTTTCAAGTAAGTCCTGTACTTGAGTTATTGCATGCAGCAATGTTTCACATTCTGCCAGGTCATTTTTCATCACTGGTACTGAGCAATTCTCTCTTTTATCTGCAGTTTCCGTGTCAGTATCATATTTCTCTCTGAACATTTTCAATGATTCTCTAGCAGCTTTATATGAATGAGTTTTACTTAACGGTTTAAAACCAGTGTTGTTCTTAAATACATTGGATATATTAACCTTTTCAAATGATGATGCAGATAGTTTACTACCATTTAGAGAATGAAAATTGCTGATTTCATTACTTGGCAGTGATTTAATTTCTGTTGCTGTTACAGCATTACTAACATTGGTCTTTAGGGTCAATTTGGAATGACTTGATAAACTTTCAGTTTCATTTACAGTCTCTACTTCATCATTTTTCAAACTTTCCGTTGTCAAACTAGCATCCTTTTTGTTTCTTCTACTTTTCAAAAATGGCTTCCTCCCTTTGATTTTAACTTCATCTTTAGCAGATTTTTTATTTGTACAATTTCCAGTTGTCAAACTAACATCACTTTTACTGTTCAAAAATGGCTTCTTTTCGTTAATTTTACCTTCATCTTTATCAGATTGTTTATTTGTACAATTTCCAGAAGTTAAAGTAAGATCACTTTTATTTCTTTTACTGTTCAAAAATGGTTTATTTTCTTTGATTTTTTCTTCATCTTCATCAGATTTTTTATTCCCAGAATAACTTTCAAATTCAGCTTTCATATTTATCTGTAGTGTCTCAGTTATCTCCATGTATTCTAAATCCTCATAGCTTACTGGTGTCCTTCCATCACTCTCCTGATCTCTATCTAACCTATCAACATTGTTCTGATCTCTATGTAATCTATCAACTTTGTTCTGATCTTTACCTAATCTATTTACATTGTCCTGATCTTTATTCTCATCAGACTTTGTTACAGTAGTATCTGCATTTTCACGTTTTAAACCACCCAATAAATGTTCCTTTGCTTCTAACTTAGGTAAAACATGTTTCTCAAGTTCTAAATTGTCTTTGCTTTTATCACCTTCACTAGAACTATCATTACAAGTTGACTTTACTTCTCTTTGTTCATTCTTGTTGTCTTTATCAGAATCTGTGTCAAGATTTGAAGATTTCGCTGGACAAGTCAGTTTCAGTTTTATTGGACTACTTTGATTACTGGATGATTTATCAGTGTTGATAACCTCTGAAGACACAACATCGTCTAGAAATATAGGGCTGCCTGGCTTTGCTAAATCACTTGGTAACGGGTCTGAAAAAAAAGAAACATGTTAATCAATAAAAGACTTTTCTCTTAACATATATTTTTGTTCCTCATATAAACTGATCAGTCAATCAAACTTTTAACCTAGTAAATACTCATACGAAGAAATACCCCAGTTTTGTTCTCTGCAGGGACATTCTTCTTTACATGTAAATATCAATAAACTAACATTGAGAAACAAATGGTAATATTACTAAATAACACCTTTAACAAATGTATTAGCAATGATCAAGAATGTCAAGAGGCTAACTTCACTAATTTATTAAAATAGTCTTTATGTCAGTAAAAATATATCCAACAAGGCATGAAAATATACAGACTATGGAGCAGTGGATTAGCAGTAAAGGTGTCTCCTCTCAACCAAAGGATCATTAGTTCAAGTTCAGGACCATGTTTCCACAAATGACAATATAATCAACACGTTATAGGTCAAATGCCAACTTTCCAGCTTCGTATGGTGGAGGAAGACGTCAAGTGCCCGACCTTGCATTATTTCAGACACAGAGGCACCTGAGTAGAACCACTGATGTTACATAATCTAGCTGACTATCTTTCTCACACAAGTATATTTAATTAATATTTCTTTCCTAGATATATGTACATATGTGGTTATACATTATCATATATACATTACATACCTGGTAGTGGGTATATTTGTGTGTTGCACTGTTTTTCTATTGTATCTAAGTTCATCTTTTCCTGTCCATCACTAACTAATGTAACAGCAATACCAAATGATCCTGAAATATCAAAACATGCCATCAGTAATACAGCATGAAGTACCGCAGTAAAACATGCACTGCAAAGGTGGGCAATATACTCCTTTATCATACACCCGCGCCGATTTTGCGACTGTAAATATGGTATTGCACGGCCGTGCATATATTTTGACGTGCGTCATTGGCGTTATACAAACATAGTGTAAAGACGCGCTAAATGTTAGCGTTATACTACAGGCGCGTTAATGAAAAATGACTCTTATTTCACTTTAAACTGTCTTTATTTTGGGTATGTGATAAATAGAATATTAAATTCATGTAAGTTCATTACTGAATTTACTACACTTGTTGAATAAAACAATATTTTGCTCGCCAGAGGCTCGCATAATATAATTTTATCCAACTCGTGCAATAAATTCAGTATTAAACTTACACTCATTCAATATCCTCTATAAATGTAAATTTGTTTGAGTAATCATAAATAATCTTTCATTACATAGAGACTGAAAAACTGTAAAATGTTGTATCTTAATTATCCTTATGATCTACGCTCTGCAAATTGTCTCATTTTATGGTTAACATTTCTGCCAAGTAGTTTCAATTCCTTCTAAAACCTGCTAATAGACGGACAGACAGATGAACAACCAGGACTCACTCAAATCAAAACTGTCCGTAAGACAGTGCACTTGACTAGTCACAGAGAACAACTGTGTGAAGTTTCAACTCATTCCATTCAGAAGTTTTGGAGATATCAACTTTCAAGCAAAATCGTAATCTTAAGTTTGATGGCGACGCAAGGGCGAGTAAGATACTCTCTCTTTTCTTTAAATAGCCAAGCTAAAAATGCCATGAGTCATTGTTACAACCATAAATCAAGGAAATGAAAACCTTAATAAAAGCATCAACTTTTTAAAAATGGCATTTAGAATGACTGTTTAAATTTGACTTTCAATGTTTTTGATATTACAAAGCAGATCTCAGACTAAGTAAGTCAGAGCTAAGTATATATGACATGTTTCTTCACATACAATTTTTAATTTATTTCCAAAATTTAAGGTAAATGGACATAATGCATCTTCCAAATAGATCTTCACTGGTTTCTAAAGATAGAAGCATTGTACAATGTTTTTTCTATGATTTCCTAGAATTTTATAAAAACTAGAATCATAAAATTGTATAAATACAAAACAGGCATAAACAGTTATTGAAACATAAACCCTTGCCTCTAACCCTTGTACATGTATAAAGTTGTCAAGGCTGAGTGGACAAAGACTGCAACCATTTAATCACTTGCTTGTAAGTATCAATGCCCAACAGTTTTGGCATCTTTGTAGTGTTAACCCTAACCAAAATAAAAATATTTACCAAATCTTCCAGCACGTCCAATTCTATGTAGATAAGTTTCATGATCCTTGGGTACATCTAGATTAATAACCATGTTAACTTTGTCAGCATCAATACCTCTAGATGTCTGTAATGCAATATATACAATTCTCAAAAAAAATATCTTAATTTACTCTTCTAGTTTAACAAAATAAAGCTGCAAGTATACAATTTTTTCCTGGCTGAATTTAATATATTAACAAGCAAATTCGTTGAATTTATATCCCCCGCCTAGTACTGGTTATTATTAACACAACAACTGAAGACATAAGGCTTTATTTATATATTAATCATGGCATAAACTGTAATATTCTTTGAACTTGAAGCCTTGTACCTTCAAACAAGAAGAATTTTTAAGTTTTCACTAAATACATATAAGGAAAATCTATGACCCCCTGGAGTGGGGCCAATTTTGACCCCAGGGCTAAAATTTGAACAATTTTGGTAGAGGACCTATAGGTTATATCATATACCAAATATCAAAGCTCTAGGCCTTGTACTTTCAGACAAGATTTTTTAATTTGCATTTTTGAAACTCCTTTTCTGGCCCTGTGAACCTACTTATGCAACAGACCGGAACCATTTGATCAACTTTGGCAGGGGACCACCCTAGATCATTCCTGTAAAGTTTTGGTTGCTGTGCAGTCATTTGTTGCTGACGACGCACGACGACGGACGGTGGGGGATCACAATAGCTCACATAGATGTAAAAACATCTTAATCGCCAGACTTCATTGCCATTTTCAAGGCATCAAGAAGGGATCTCACAATTTTCAAATATTTTTAAATGTTATTGTAACAAATTATTTTAATTCTTCTTTAATAAAAACTAGAAATGTGTCCATAGGACACGCGTGCCCCCACCGCGCCACTGTTCTGTCAATCTTATGACTCTAGGTCAAATATTTTTTGAAAACTAAAAAAATCTTTTTACTATGTAAAGGGCAAGAACTTTACAAATACTGAATAAATCCCCAAAGCAAACCCAAGTTGAAAATTGCAAATTTTATACTACTGTAATTCAGGGCAATAACTCTAACAAAACTGAAAAAAATCCACATGCAAAGTCCAGGTTCATAGCATCACAGTGAGGTGAATCATTATTCCTGTAATTTAGTGATGTTGATCATTATTTCCTGTAAAGTTGGCCGATCCTAACTCAAGCACTCAAGGATCAAATAACAACATAATGAAACAGTTTTTACTAAGTCAAGGGAAATAACTCTACAAATACTGGATAAATCCACAAGCGAAACCCCAGGAACAAACTAAATATGCTGAGCAACTTTCCAATAAGGTTTAATGACCCTATGTCAAATCCTTTTTGAGTTACATGCGACACATGTTGAAAATTGCAAACATTTTCTAAGTCAAGGGCAATAACTCGAAAAATACTAAATAAATCCAGACAAAAATACCCAGGTGCACAGTTACACATGCTGATCAACATTCCTGTAAAGTATCCTGACTCTAGGTCAAATACTTTTTGAGTTACATGCGACACAAGTTGAAAATTACAAAATATTACTAAGCCAAGGGCAATAACTCTAAAAATACTAAAAATATCCAGACCAAAATACCCAGGTGCACAACTACACATACTGATCAACATTCCTGTAAAGTTTCATGACTCTAGGTCAAATACTTTTTGAGTTACATGCGACACAAGTTGAAAATTACAAAATTTTACTAAGTCAAGGGCAATAACTCTTAAAATACTAAAAATATCCAGACGAAAATACCCAGGTGCACAACTTCACATGCTGATCAACATTCCCATAAAGTTCCGTTGAATTCCAGCCATTAGTTGCAGAGAACTACTCCGGAAACGAAATTCGGACAAAATTTTACTAAGTCAAGGGCAATAACTCTAAAAATACTAAAAACATCCAGACGAAAATTCCCAGGTGCACAACTTCACATGCTGATCAACATTCCCATAAAGTTTAGTTGAATGCCAGCCAAGAGAACTACTCCGGAAACGAAATTCGGACGGACGGATGGACGGACGGACAACGCCAAAACTATATCCCCCTCCCGATTCCATAAGTAATAAAAGAGTAGCTAACAGTATATATTAAAGTTTATATAGTCTAGTCAGGGTCTGACTTTGTAAGACTTAACTAATGTTATATGCAAGTTATTTATGACTTTTACATTCAAAGATTTTAAAAAATACATTTTTAAAGAGTATTTATCACAGACTAAGTCTACAAAGATATTGTGCACTTAAGTTTGAAACACAGTTTTCGAGGCATGTATAAGAATATAATAATGAAACTAACTAATGACATAATTGGACATTCAATAACCCATGAGAATCATTAACTGTGTATTAATCACTGCTTCCTACCGGTATCTAGAAATCATAATCCTTTTTTTGTTTGTTTTTATTGTGTTTTAAGTCGCACCAACAAAGTATAGGTCATATGGCAACTTTCCAGCTTTACTGGTGGATGAAGACCTCATAAGCTAGCTGGATTGCTTACTCACATGAAAGAATCCAAAATCCATGTCAGGATTTGACCATACAGTGAAGAGGGGCAAGTTGTTTGAAGTCAATGACATAAACCACTCGCCACAGAAGCCCCCTAACAAAATTCTCAGAACTAAATGGAGCAAAAGTCCTGACAACAAAGGAAACAAAGATTTATGTATACTTGTCAGTACTTGATGCTTGATAAAATTAAGGAACAATACCTAGTGCTCTAATATTATCGGTGTTTTTTTTCTTTATATAACTTCTACCCTAAAACAGTACTGTTCCCAATAGAAAATAGACATTAAAATTCCCAATTTCCCAAAATGGCTGTTCAAAATTCCCACAAGGCCAAGTGATTTCTCTGAAATCATTTAAATCCAACATATTCATACATGCATAAATCACCACTTAATAGTTCTACCTGGACAGTGGAAGCTGTTAGCTTTATTCATGATGACTAATCTTATTTGTAGCTGAAAAAATGCATTAAAAAAAATTCCCAATGTAATTCAAAATAACGCATTTTTTCCCAAACAGTCTGGTACCGGCACCATTCCCAAAGTAGAGAAAAAAAACACTGATTATTATATATATGGGCAACTTTTTGAATATGCTTCATTGAGAAGAATTTAAAAATATAATTTCTTTCAGACTTGATGATAACTATACCACTAATTTAAAATGTAGTATCGAAATCAACAAAATGTATAGTGAGTAAATTGAACTCAACAGCTCAACAATATTTTTCAGTATAAACGTAAGCTCATCCAATCATTACGTTGAACCTTCCTTGATGCTATTAATCTACCCTGCACTGTTATTTACAGACAATTGACTAAAACTGATACAAATATTCTTAGAAAATCATAAAGTCACTCACCAAGTCTGTTGATATAAGAATCCTACATTTATAAGTTTTAAGTTTGGCCATAGCATGATTCCTGTCTTTCTGATCTAAACATCCAGCTATACATGCAGTAGGCCAGCCTTGTTTTGTGAGAGAGTCTGCTAACGTCTGTGCTCTGAAAATAATGTACAAATGTATTTGAACATACTAGAAAAGCTTACATTTTAGGTTCAATGAAAAAAGTTTGAAAATGTATTTTCAATTTTAAGGAAAATAGTAAATTTATATAAGCATGCTGACCTCAGCAACATTCAACTTTATATGATATCTTTATCTATAAACCATTACCGGTATGTAAGTCTTACTTGAAAGTCAAGGAATAAGAAACACATATTCCTTGTTTATAAATAATTATATCAAAGTTAAAGCATGAAAATATCTTTACTTTACCTCCCTATATATATATCACATTATTTCTCAAATTGCAAATAACAGGGTATATGCAATTTAAGTATATATTACATTTCTGTATGATACATGTAGTGTTCAACTATACAACTAAACATAAATATTTATTGGTGGTAGATATCCTAGCAGTGTTTGATTTTTGGGGTTTAAAAGCCCAAAAAAAAAATAAACCCCGGGGTTAAAAAATTTAAAAAACATATGGTGACATTCTCCCTTTACTGGTTAAATAAACTCGGGCCCGCTTAACCCTACATTTTTAAAAAGGGCCCACAAGAAGGCACCGGAGTAAAACAATAAGCATTGACCATCTGTAACATAGCTGACAAGCTTCCTTACATGAAAGAATCCAATGTCCCTGACAGGATTCCAACCTACAATGGTAAGGGGACAAGTGTTTTTTAATCAGCAACCTTTACCACTTGGGGTCACTGATTTAACTGTATACCTGAAAATGTGTTATCTATTTTACACACTACTGTACTTTACTAATCTATGTTAATAGTATGACAATCTTTTACCCTGTCAGATCATTTACATCTCCCGTCTCTCTGTAGGCCTATCCCTGACTTAAGGACTATTACAACCATGCCATTTTTCCACAGGTAAATTAAGAGAAAAATAACATAGTATATATTGCAAAAGGAGAAAAAAAATCATAAAATATTTTAGGGAAAACTGCATAAGTATAAAGAAATTTTCTGGGGGTAAAATCAGCCCTTAAACAGCCCTGACAACACTACACACTATGTTTACCTGGTTTGAAGATTAGAGAAGACAAGACATTGTTGAAAGCTGACAGAAGATAAGATGTTGATTAATTCTTTACTTTTCTCTTCAAACACAACATGTGACAAAGGGTGATAGGCAACTGTCTTGTAATACTGTCGAATACCTGAAACAAAGTCACAGATTTTCATTTAAATGTCATGATATTATAACACAAGCAAATTAAATTTTAACTTTAATTCTTCAAATTATTCTTCTACATGATGATTTTTGAGCAAAATAGCTTTAATCTAATTATTAGATGCATGCAACAAAAGCACATTTGATGTTGAAAAGAAAGGCATTTTTGGCACAAAACTTCTTTTTTTTCAACTAAGACTTGTTTCAATATGAGTCAAACCTTTCTAACCAATATGCTTTGAATTTTGAATATTAAATGATTTTTTATACTAAAACTTAGCAATCAATACTAAAGTACAATTCACATATACTGTCAAAAAACTGCCACACAAATGAGAAGTTTTAAAATCCTAACAACAAAATAATACGCAGAAGTCTCACTTAGTAGTTAAGACTGATCTCATGAATTACAAGACATTTTGTCCTTCGTGAAAAATCCACTTTTATCACTGAAAAAGTCTGGATTGCACGATTGTGTTAGTCAAACAGTGTTTTTCTATATTGTTACAAGTGATTAAGGAGACAATACTTATTAATAGCGAAAATATTATTTATGAAACTTGTGTTGACAAATATCTATCTAGTAGTGCTGGATCTGATATATTTCGATGTAGGAATGTCGGATTTACGTCACACTAACTCAGTGACTTTCCAGCTTTACTGGTGGAGAAAGACCGTCGGTGCCTACCATGCATTATTTCAGGCACAAACAGGAGGATTAAGGTGTTAATAGTGAAAATAATATTTATGAAGCTTGTGTTGACAAATAACTACCTAATAGAGCAGGATCTGATATGTTAAGACGTAGGAATGTCGGGTTTCTCATGTAGGCTGTTAGATGATCGGCCAGGTACTCCGGATATGTTGCTGATAGGGCCAACATTTGCTTGTTCTCCGGTAGTGTCGAATAAATCCAACTACAATATTGTACATTTATAAATACTGATTCATACACAGCATATTCAATAGCAACAACACTTTATTTTGTAAATAAAGGCCTTCGGCCCAAAACAAACAATATAATCAAAGCTTTTTCACTTATACAAATGATAGCATAAATTTCATACATTCAAAATTAATAGACCAATAGGTTAATCCCAAACTAAATACTTTTAAGTTAATATACATAAATGAAATTTAAAAAATTGAAAAATTAAACATAATAAAAAACTTAAATATACATTCATCATGTGATAGCCCATGTTTTAAAAGTTAAAACAATTGATAAATGTGTCAATTAACTATATAGAGTGAACACAATATTATTTACTTGATTTGTTCCTGGAAACTTTCTTCCAACAGTTTGTCAGCTTCATCAAGTATAAAAAGCCTTAAGCTATCTGTCCGCAATACCCCACCCTCTATCAGTTGCTTTATACGACCTGGTAATTTATAAAGAAAACAAACATGTGTTCAAGTTCTTTAAAGACATGTTAAAGACATTCATTCAGAACTAATAATTTTCTCATAAAGAGTGACAAAATCTCTAGAACTGGTCATTATATGTAAATTTCATCCTACACAAAAACAAACAAATACAGTTTTTTTATACTCTTTTCCACTTAATACTGTTAGGACATCACATTTAGCTTACTTTTCATGATTTCCTACAGAACTGATTCAGAAATTTCACTAGTTAATAGATACATATATTTTATTTAGCTGAAACTATTTATCAATGATATAAAAATAAAATTTGCCTTACATAAAATAAATTATCACTAAGTGAAGGATTGCAAAGCCAAATGTGTATATTAACTGTTTTTTGGATAATATCTTAATTTATTGGAGCCCCTCTTGCCTCCTTGTGACAGTTTGCGTAATACCTATCTCTAATAAATATGTGTCACATGAGAGGCTCTTTCAGATTCTACTATTATGTTGTTATCTAAATATAAACCAATACAGCTGCTCAATGTCATGACAAATCAACAGGTTAAAAAAGACAATACATTAATGTACCTGGAGTACCAACAGCAATGTGACATTTTTTCAGTTTGATTCTATCCTCGTGAAGTGGTAAACCTCCAATAAAAGTATGGCACTCTAGTTGTTTTGTAGCACTTCCAATACTGTTGATCACCTCCCATATTTGAACAGCTATCTCCCTCGTGGGTGCCAGCACCAACACCTGAAATACATCTCTTACTTAAGATACTTTCCTAAATTTACTGTACATAAAACAATGGGAGAAATATGAAGAGAACAAAAACATATACCAGTAATGATTACTATCATTTGTAACTAAAGAAAACTAATAAACCAAATCTTCATTCTTATGTGATAATATTCCAAGGTAAATGTTTGGAATGAATCATCATTTAATATCAGTGATTTTTTTCCCCTATTATCTTACAGCCGAATAAAGGTTGTTTCCCCTAGCCCAAAATATTCCTGTGCACTTTTTCACCAGAACCATGACTCAACAGTAGTTGATTTATATAGTTGATAAATTTAATTGACTGTTAGATAGAAAACTGTCCCAACAGATGGCCTCTACTATGTACCATTCACATAAAATTGAATTGAAAATGTTCTAAAAATGTGAGGGTAAATTTCATTCTCAGTTGTTGGAATTTGATTTCAGGTTTTTCCAGGCCCTTTTCTGATTTATTGTTGTTTTCGAAATTGAAAAAAATAATTACCCTTCAGAAAGCCACAGGATGATTTGAAACTTGAAAAAAAATGATTATCTTAAGTTTGTGTAAGTGTATACCTGTGTAGAAGCAGTATCTGTTACTATACTTTCTAAAGCTATCACAGAGAAGACACAAGTTTTCCCAGTTCCAGACTTTGCTTGAACTATCAAATCTGAAAAAAAGTAAAATTAATTACTTTTGCCTGGCTGCACAATCAAGCTTGTAAGGCAAGACAATAGAATTTTTTTTTTAATTTATGATGCTTTGCCTGTTTGAGCAATAACTATTATAGGTGGTGCGATAGCTCAGTTGGTGTAATGGTAAGAAATCCAGGTAATCCTCGCATATATCAGTGCTATACACTGGACATGTTAAAGAACCAAGGGGTCTATTTAATAAGAGCTAGGGACTGGTTCCCGGATTCCCTGTGTATCTCATAGCTATGTCTCTCAATTCAATCCAATGTATACATGCTTAGTGTAATTGTAAACTATTTTAAAGCAGTATAATGTAGATGTAGATATAAGTTGTTGACTTGACCGACAAACAATAACAAGCCTGTAACATCTGAATGTATTGGACTAATAGCTAGCTCAAGGAGCTGGCCCGAAGGGCCTGCTTGCAAAGCAAGCTTTAAGGTAACAATAGATAGTTATGATTTTGAAAACTTTCGCCAGAAGTATTACAAAATTATGGGTAATTGATTAATCGCAACTTTTCAAATTACAAGATAAGGATAAAATTTGAGGAATTCTGATTGAAAATGGTTGCATAGACTGGTCTCGTGTGCACTCCTATAACCACAACAGGACAGGGAATTAAAAAAAAATGGAAGCAGTTTATAAAATACAGCGTTTTTTTTCTCTACTTTGGGAATGGTGCCGGTACCAGACTGATTGGGAAAAAAATGCGTTATTTTGACTAAAATTGGGATTTTTTTTAATGCATTTTTTCAGCTACAAATGAGATTAGACATCATGAATAAAGATAGCTAACAGCTTCTACTGTCCAGATAGAACTATTGAGTGGTGATTTATATGAATATGTTGGATTTAAATGATTTTAGAAAAATCACTTGGCCTTGTGGGCATTTTGAACAGCTATTTTGGGGGTTTAACATTGGAAATTGGGAATTTTAAAGTCTATTTTCTATTGGGAACGGTACCGTTTTAGGGTAGTAGTTATGTAAAGAAAAAAAACACTGAAATACCTAATGGCACTTTTAAAATGGAAAATGATCATTTAAAACACAAAATGGCCGTATATAGTGTGTGGTTGTGTTGAGTATATTGTTCGGGCAAAAATACGCAGTTCAAATTGTATTGAAAACATAACATGTGTAGCAGCTGATGGGTTTAAATAAAAATGTTCTATAATTTCTGTCAAAGAGCTCGCTTTGAGGCTTTGCCTTATTCATATTATTTTTTTAGTGTAGGACAAAAGCTCTACGAGTCCGAGACTAAAGCCCTCCCGTCCAAAAAATGACAAGGCAGACAAAAGCAATCCCGTTGAAATAACAGGGCGGACTAAAGCCCTCCTGTGAAAATGACTAGGCATTAGGGTTTCTTAATCGGACAAAAATCATAATCGATCATCGAAAATAATCGAACAACCCTTTTCGATCAATCATCGATTATATAATCGAAACATTTATGATAACAAAGTAAAAAAGTATAATGTACATATCATGCTTTAATATTTATAAGAATTCCATTTCCATGTGACCACCACTTTATCAACTGAAATAAATTAATTTTAAGATATACTATGATCATCCTTGAGTAAAATATTTTAATCAAATAAATTCATTAAAATCTATGAAATTATTATGTCTCACTTTCTAAAAAGGAATGAATAAACTACTGTATGTATGGGAACAAGTTAAGTTGGTTGACCTGTTCTTAACAAAATTGCCGGTATTTTTTAATGACATTATATATTGATATAGCAACCACCTATAGTGAGTAGAATAATTTTATACATAACATAACTTTTTGTGTGAAGTCAAAACATGTTTATTTTATATTTACAAATAGAAGGTATAACAATTTTAAATATTTTCTAATGTCAAATTTGAGCATAGTATACCTTTAAAATAGCATGCCTGATTGTCAACTATTAACTCAATGGTCACCAGTATGCTTTCATATTCAATTGAATGAAAATTATTGTTTCAAACAAAACTGGCTTTAATTTAGAGTGTTGTTATAATACAGTTAATCACTTAAGTAACAGCAAGAAAATAAATTGCCGATGATCGATTATTAAACTTTGTAATCGATCATCGCCGATCGGTTCTATAACCGATCAATTTTCGATTATACTCGATCATCGTTTAATCCTTACTAGGCATACAAAAGCCCTCCCGTAAAAACAACAGGGCAGACAAAAGCCCTCCTGCAGCAAATACATCTATGTATTGAATACTTTGTTTTGTCTTTTCAATGCACTCAACATATCAAAATTGTAATCATAAATTTATATTTTTTATTTTCCAATAAGCCTGTTTGTATGAGCAGACATATATGACAGGCATCTGAATAATAAGTGCTAAAATCTGTAAGCGCGCACGTAAATATGAAACGATTACTCCCATGTGACGTGAAGTTAAGATTAATAAAGTAACTAGAGGATGCTTTTGTAAAAAAGCGCATGTCTCCCCCACTGCTGAGAATAACTGTGAATGGAAACAGGAATGGAAATGGAGATAAAAGAACAGAGTATATAAAACCAGACAACTGATATATCACTGATATATCAATAATAGTTAAATGTCCTCACTGATAAGAACTCTAGTTATCATCCGGAAATGAGAAAATGACCAATGGTCACTGTGACCTTAACCTTTGACCTACTGACCCCATAAACAAGAGGGATCATCTGCTCAATAAGACCAATCATCCTATGAAGTTTGAGGGTTGTAGGTCTAAAGGAACTCTAGTTATCATCCTGAAAGGAGAAATTAACCAACAGTCGCTGTGACCTTGACCTTTGACCTACTGACCATTAAAACAATAGGGATCATTTGATTAATAAGACCAATCATCCTATGAAGTTTGAGGGTTGTAGGTCAAAAGGAACTCTAGTTATCATCCGGAAATGAGAAATTGACCAACGGTCACTGTGACCTTGACCTTTGACCTACTGACCCCAAAAACAATAGGGATCATCTGCTCTATAAGACCAATCATCCTATGAAGTTTGAGGTCTGTAGGTCTAAAGGAACTCTAGTTATCATCCGGAAACGAGAAATTGACCAACGGTCAGTGTGACCTTGACCTTTGACGTACTGACCCCAAAAACAATAGGGATCATCTGCTCTATAAGACCATTCATCCTATGAAGTTTGAGGTCTGTAGGTCTAAAGGAACTCTAGTTATCATCCGGAAACGAGAAATTGACCAACGGTCAGTGTGACCTTGACCTTTGACCTACTGACCCCAAAAACAATAGGGATCATCTGCTCTATAAGACCAATCATCCTATGAAGTTTGAGGGCTGTAGGTCAAAAGGAACTCTAGTTATCATCCGGAAACGAGAAATTGACCAACGGTCACTGTGACCTTGACCTTTGAACTACTGACCCCAAAAACAATAGGGATCATCTGCTCAATAAGACCAATCATCCTATGAAGTTTGAGGTCTGTAGGTCTAAAGGAACTCTAGTTATCATCCGGAAACAAGAAATTGACCAACGGTCAGTGTGACCTTGACCTTTGACCTACTGACCCCAAAAACAATAGGGATCATCAGCTCTATAAGACCAATCATCCTATGAAGTTTGAGGGCTGTAGGTCAAAAGGAACTCTAGTTATCATCCGGAAACGAGAAATTGACCAACGGTCACTGTGACCTTGACCTTTGAACTACTGACCCCAAAAACAATAGGGATCATCTGCTCAATAAGACCATTCATCCTATGAAGTTTGAGAGCTGTAGGTCAAAAGGTACTCTAGTTATCGTCCGGAAACGAAGAATGTTTCTGTTTTTAACGAAATTTATGTTAAAAGTTATCTCGTTAAACATTTCAGAAAGGTATATTCTGAATGAAAGGTGGTTCTAGCTCATACACAAACTAAGGCCAATTGAAAACAACAACAAATATGAATGTTACAATTTAAATATGCTCAATGTCTTGGAAAAAACAGGTAATGGTATTTGACATGCAGGGCTTTTATCAGCCTCATTACTTTCATACGAGGGCTTTTGTCCGCCAAGTCATTTTCATGGGAGGGCTGTCATTTTTGGACGGGAGGGCTTTTGTCCGTTTCCCTTATTGTTTATCTTCTGTGGTCCACTACACTAGATATCAGGGGTTTATTTAAGCGGACGCCCGCTTGCCCGCGTCGGGTAGAAATCGCTGCGGGCAAGTGAAATTTGAAAGCAAATTGCCCGGCGGGCAAGTGAATTTTCGTTATGCCTTCTATTAGCTTTGATATCCTTTGCCGATAATACTTTTCTTTCCGTTCATATTACAGTCAAACAAGTTTATTTTTAACTGTTTCTGATTGTAGTTGGACTCCTATCAACCAATCAAATTACGTAAAAAAACTTTTTCCATTTTGCTTTCCTTTCAAAATGGCGGGCGGCGCTGAAAGTTTTCCCGTTTTTAAAAGAAAAAATCTACAGCAATTAAAGAAAAAGCCACGGCTAAGAAAACATCTGATTTTCTGACTTAAAAGCATAAAATCACAAAAATTCAAGATGAGTTATGTCAATAAAGACTGACAAAACTGCAAGGTTCAAGAAAGAACAGAAAAATCGGGCCGTAAAAATCTACTCCTTTGAATCCTGTACGCTATTGTTTTCTTCATACAGTCAAAATTTAACTAACTGGCGTCAACTCATTTGCAATAGGCCTATAGAATTTTTTTAAAATTCGTCACCAGTAATCTTTTTTACACAAATCTTGACGAAAAATCATAATAGTCTTGAACTGTTGTTAATTTATTTTCCTTTCTCCCCTACGGCAATGTTTAAAAATATTCTTACCTATTAATAAACAGAATAAAATAATCCATAAAATGTTTAAAATCCTTTTTGGTAAATCACAGCATATTGTGTAACTATAAGTTATCTGAGGTCATTCTAGGTCATGCCTAATTTACGACCAAAACAGAAAAAAACCTCCTTAGGTGAAACATACAGCAAATGACGTATATTTCGTCTGACAGTTCTTTGAACCAGTCAGTGCTCTGAACTGTATGATTACTGCATGGGGTGAGTCCCTTTGATGTGACATAGGTTAAAACTTCAAATAGATTTTAATACAAACAGGGAGGATAGGAATCAGACAGATCAATTTAAATTGAGTATAACACATCCTGTCATGGACTTGGAGCAACTTGTTGTTTTTAAAAATGAAATAAATTTGAAAGGTACATTACTAGTTTGGTAATGCAAACAAAGCAAATTTTACATTGTTTGAAATCAATAATAAACATTTAAAACCTAGCACAATTTTAACAATCAACAATCAAACTGTTTCCTTTTTAAAGTTGTAATAGGGAATAAATATTTTTAAGGTGATAGCATCTGAATGTTAATATATTTTAAAAGTCATCTGGAATAGGGCCTAATTATTAGCGGTAATTTTTATAAGCCTTAACAGATCATGACTATTGTTAATCTTCACTTTCATTTTACTATTTTGATGTGAGGAATCCCTGACATTTAGGAGTTTTTCTAAATTAAATCTCAGGGATTTCTATTGGATCCCTGGCAAAGAAAGTTGTGTCGACCCCTAGACTATTGTGTATTAGCAAAAAAACATATACAGTAGGGAATTTAGGACTACATTGTATTTTACTATCTGAGGCATAAGTTGATAGGATCTGCAATAAATCTTATTTTAACCCATAATTTTTGCTTTGATTATTAACAAACTTCACATTTAAGATCGGGCAACCTGTTTTTCCTGGGGGCAAGTAGATTTTCAAAGTTACTTGCCCTTTGGGCAAGTGAAAGTCAAAACCTTAAGTAAACCCCTGGATATGTTGCAAATATACTATTTTGTATGAGTAAAGGATATGATATCGTTGTAGGGGGGTAAAATGATAAATTACCTAGCCCACATCTGCCGAGAGGAATGGCTTTTAACTGTATGGGTGACGGTCTTACAAAGCCAGAATTTTTCAAACCATTCAAAACGTTATCGGACAGCAATAAACTGCCAAAATCAACACTTTCAGTTATTTGAACATCATCAGTCCTTGCTTTATCTTTTATGCTGTGTGCAACTTTAGACATTTTTATGAGATAATAGACCTCTTCATTGAAAAATCAGAAGAAAATCATTTTTTTCTGTTTCTTGGCACGTGAAATTAAATTCAGCGGCCATATTTAAATCGTCTGCTATACGTTTATGTTACGAACATTTTGATTGGTTATTAAAAAAAGTCATGTCTAATATTCCGAACACGTACCCTGATAAGGACTAAAAGGGGCCTGTGTGTATTACAGACAGTTCACCGCTTAGACACTTCACCCAAACCATTTTTTGGAGATTTTTCACCCTTCTTTTGATAAAATCTGATTGAGACACTTCATTCTTCTTTCATCCCTTTCACACTTGCTTTGTCCTTTAATTGACATGTAGTACTTTGACTGTTGAAATAGAGAAAGCAAGAATCCCTAAAGAAAGTCCAACACAACATAATTGAAAATGTTGCAGGCTCGGTTTGATTGAGCCTGTTTCATGGACGGTACTGTCAAGTGCAAACTACCGTCCACGCCCCCTAGCACCGGCTTAAGCAGAATTCAACATTTAAAATGAAATGGTACAATTTTGAATTTTGAAACATCCGCAGATGTGTTCATCTTGCGGTTATCATGGAACCTTCAATGTGACACTAAGTGCCATTCCATGAAAAGCGGCATATGGTCCCGAAGTAAAAAATGCGTGTGCCCTAAACGAGAAAACAATGGACAGAACTAAATAAAATGGAATTTTGAAAGAGGATCTGAGGTTATGAAGCCTGCATATCACAGATAAGACGTCAAAAGACAAATTTAAAAAGCAGGCCACATATCCTGAGGGTGATTCTGACTGATTCAACAGTATTCAAGTGAGGAATAGTGGAACCATCCGACAAGAAAAAAAAAAGCCAAAAAGAAAGAACTAAATTACCACAGCACAACAATTATGTCGTGCTGAACGATCTTTAAGGATCGGAAATATAACATCTCTGATTGAATGTACGGGGCGGCTTTTTACAGCCTCCACACGGCACAAACAACGCTGATGTGGCGATAAAATAGAGAAAGCAAGAATCCCTAAAGAAAGTCCAACACAACATAATTGAAAATGTTGCAGGCTCGGTTTGATTGAGCCTGTTCATGGACGGTACTGAAAGTCACTCATACGTATATTTACTTGTCAGCAATTAGCTCTGCATGTTTATTGATTTTTTTCTATTTTATGTTATCTTTAAATTGTCTTTCATGTTATGTAAGGAATGAGAAAGCCAGCTTTTTAAGGAAGAAAAATTGTTTTGTCTGAACAAAGCCAACAGCTGTATTATTAACAAATAAAACATGGCATTGAGGGCAATATATGCAAGTTTACGGACTGATTGGTCAGACTGAGGAAGGTATATGGCCCGAAGCGCAGCTGAGGGACATATACCTTCCGAGGTCTGACCAACCAGTCCGTAAACTTGCACTTTGCCCGAAATGCCATGTTTTATTTGTTATATTATACCGGATCTAAATCATTTCTTCCCTTTTGTTGCTGTTATTTTTACTATAATTTACTTTCAAATAATAATTTATTTGTTCAGTGTGTGAAATATCTCAAGTCGGATTTTTATTATAATTTTCAAGCGATACACCAAAAAAATCATGCTCTTCTTTTGTTAATTAATTTTTGTTTATCAAATTAAACAGGCAAAAAACCCGAACTTTAAGATTTTCACAAACTGTATAAATAAAATTTATAATCAAGTTAAAGACAAATCGTGACTTTTGATCAACATTTAATAAATTTATGTGAAACAAAACAATAAATTCAGTAAAAAGAATCATTTAACAACAAAATAAAATATTATGCATAATTTGCATACGCCTTTCTATATTTAATATGACGTCATCCAGTCCATATAAGAGTTATGGACCACCTCCGGTCTGTATGCGGTTTATGGACCGGATGACGTCATATTAAATAGAGAAGGGCGTATGCAAATGAGATATAATATTAACCAATATTCCACATGCTAACAAGCAAATTTGATGAATTTATATACCCTCCGAGTACTGGTTAATTTTATTACTAACTCAACAACTGGAGACATAAGGCTTTATTTATATTTATCATAGCATAAACAGTAATATTCTTTGTACATGATAAAAATTCAGGACAAGAACAGAGGCCATAACTCCGTGTTAAATAGTATTATCGGAACATACCAATGAGATGCAAATTGCCTTTTTGTAATGATGGTTACCAATTCCCATAAAGTTTTGTTGAAACCTATCCAGTAGTTGCAAAGAAATTGCATTATTGCTCTATATGCAGACTTCATAAGTAATCAAGGGCCAAATTCTGTGTGCGCAGGGTCTGACCTGAACAAGAGGTGATATGTGCATCTTCTCTTGGTATTAATGGTTTCCATAAAGTTTCAATGAATTCCATTCAGAAGTTGCAGAGAAGTAGCGCAGAAACGTATATGAATCTTATAAGAATCTTACACAGGCTGCCGGTACAGACCGGAATATCTAGCTCGAGGGTAACTGTTTACAGCGGTAACGAGGCTCTGCCGAGTTTCCGCTAAACAGTTTCCCGAGAGCTAGATATTCCCGTCTGTACCAACAGCCGGTGGTTGATTCTTTTTCTTGCATATTACATGTCAATTTCTTTCGGAACAAAAATTATGAAAACTAATATTCTCATTACGCACTTTTTTCTTATAGTACCGTATGAACATACAATTTCATTCATAACGGGAAAATGACGTCATCCTAAGAACGCGATTCATTCATAAAATTCGCGCGTCAATGACGTCATTTAAAGCACGCGACTTGTCTTACATGGGGGGTGTAAGACAGAGTTTTCTAGCACCGGTGTAAACGGTAGATATTCCTGTCTGAGGTGCAAGAATACACAGGCTGCCGGTACAGACCGGAATTTCTTGCATGTCAGACAGGATTATCTACCGTTTACACCGGTGCTAGAAAACCTTGTATTACACCCCCCATGTAAGACAAGTTACGTGCTTTAAATGACGTCATTGCCGCGGGCCTTTTATGAATGAATTGCGTTCTTAGGATGACGTCATATTTTACGGCAAGAATACGCTCATAGTTCATACGCTACTACATGTATAAGAAAAAGTGCATAATGAGAATCCGTTTTCGTAATTTCTGTTCTGAAAATAATTGTAATATGCAAGAAAAAGAAATAAACACCGGCTGTCGGTACAGACGGGAATATCTAGCTCTTGGCGGAAACTGAGTCTTGTTACCGCCGTAAACAGTTACCCTCGAGCTAGATATTCAGGTCTGTACCAGCAGCCAGTGTAAGATTTTTATAATCTAGCTCGAGGGTGACTGTTTACGGTGGTTATGAGGCTCTGCCTAGTTTCCGCGAAACAGTTACCCGAGAGCTAGATATTCCCGTCTGCACCGACAGCCGGTTTCTTGCATATAACATATCAAATATTTTCAGAACAGAAACTACGGAAACTGATATTCTCATTATGCTCTTTTTTCTTATAGTAGCGTATGAACTTACAACTTCATTCATAATGGTTAAGTGACGTCATCTTAAGAACGTAATTCATTCATAAAATGCACACGACAATGATGTCATTTAAAGCAGGTGACTTGTCTTACATGGGGTGTAAGACAGGGTTTTCTAGCACCTGTGTAAACGGTAGATAATCCTGTCTGATATGCAAGAAATTATTGTTGTATATGCATACTGCATAACTTATCACGGGCCATAACTCTGTGTTGAAGTATCTGACCAGAACAAGGCGATGGTATGCATATCTCCTCTTGAAATTGATGGTCCCCATTTCCAGCCATTTCCAGAACTAGAGCAGAAACATTATTCGGACGGACGGATGGACAGACGGAAGGACAGAGGGACAACACCAAAACAATATCCCCCTCCCGATTCCACCGGTGGGGGATAATTAGATTAGAATGTCCTAAAAGCAGTAAATGGTAAAACAATTTTAAAACAACTTTTACTCTGATCCATTTCTAATCATATATATGTGTTTGGCGCGTTGATTGGTCAATACCCCCGGGCCGTGCCCCCGTCACCCACTCTACAACCCTCTTACCTCTCAAAGCCATGTAAACTGCAGTATTTCTCATTTGAAACATGTTTTAATATTTGTTGTATGCTTTTAAATAATTTAATTTCCTTCATTTCCCACAAAAAATAAAAAATTGATACATATATATTTAGTATACCTTTACTAAATATATATGTATCAATTTTTTATTTTTTGTGTGAAATGAAGGAAATTGAATTAAAAGCATATTAGTGAGCAATCGTCAAACACCTACATGTATGTTTCTAATTAAAATATATTTTGACTTAGAAATTAATGATTTTTTGCACGGTATAGGAACGGAGTCAAGAACGAATTATAAACTAGAATCGAATGTGGTCACGTGATACGTAGGTGTTTACAATATTTCTACTTCCGTGTTTCTCGAAATCAAAGAAAAATGTCTCATCAAACTGGTATTTCAGGTAAATGAAGGGATTAAATGAATACGTATAGATATTTTACATATATCTTGCATTTTTCATATATATTTCTAGCATTGAAAGTCGTGATGTTAGTTTTAATCTGTGATGAAATTTATCTTTCGCCGGTAAAATAAGTGGGTGGGGAATATTGAGTCAGTATCATGGTTAAAAATATTTGTTTCTACTACATTTTTTCTTGATTTGAAAATTAATCTATTTAATATCCCAGCTATATTTACTTTTGAAACACAAAAATATTGTTTTATCCTAAAACAAGAACTTCTTAATTTCGAAAATGGCACATCCAATTAGATCCCAGGTTACCTCAGATAAATACTTAGGCGTTGATTAAAATTGGTACCCGCCACGGGGGCCTATATACAGGTGAGCGACTTCAGTGCCATCATGGCCCTCTTGTTTGATTTCCTTTTAAATATACACATGTAGTCTATAGCTGGGCAAGCCAAAGCCTGGGCCCGCTTCCCGGACCCGTCCTTTGTCTTCCCTGTATAATAAAATATTTATTTTCTCAATCAGAAGAAAGTTAAAATATAACTTGATCACATGACTTCCCTCTTCCCTCATAAAAGAGCTTCTGAAAATAGAAGAAAATACCATCGGCAACAATATTATATAACAATCTGTTAATATATTGTAGTCAAATTATAAATACTGAAACCAAACTCTTTTCCAATTCTCTTTTAAAATAACTTTGTTATAAGTAACATAACATTTACTGGCCAGATGGATCGAAAAATATTATGCACAGTAAAATATAAATTTGATATAAATATGATTTGGTTATGTCACACAAGTTCTAAGCGTATGTTATAAATGAAGTGTGAAATTCAAAATTTGAGGTTAGTTTATTGAAGTAAATTCTTTAGTCCTTATTTGTCTTTCATGTTTTTTGTTTTTTTTCTTGCAATAATGCAGCTACATTCATGTATATGTAGATTAAAACTAAGAAACTAAAACTAAACTATGTAAACAGGAAGAGAATAACAGAAAATAAATAATACATGTATTACAACAGACATTGCTTAAAGTGGATTGGTCTAGTACTACAATAGGCACATTTTTTATAAGTACATGTATATCAAATATTTTAAAAACAAAATTTATAGAAACTTATTCTTTTATTATGCTCCCCGAAAAATTTCGGGGGAGCATATAGTCGTCGGGTTGTCCGTCAGTCCGTCCATCCGTACCTCCCGAATTCGTGTCCGGCCCATAACTTTGTTATTTGAAGTCGGATTTTAAAACTATTTCACAGAAATGATCACCATATTGAGACGACGTGTCGCGCGCAACATTTGGCTCGCTTCCTTGAAGGTCAAGGTCACAGCATGACCTTGCAGCAAAATCATGTCCGGCCCATAACTTTGTTATTTGAAGTTGGATTTTACTATTTCACACGAAATGATCACCATATTTAGAGGACATGTCGCGCGCAACATTTGGGTCGCTACCCTTGATGGTCAAGGTCACAGCATGACCTTGCAGCGAAATCGTGTCCGGCCCATAACTTTGTTATTTTGAAGTCGGATTTTAAAACTTTGTCACAGAAATGATTCACCATATTTGTGACGATGTGTCGCGCGCAACATTTGGCTCGCTACCTTGAAGGTCAAGGTCACAGCATGATCTTGCAGCAAAAATCGTGTCCGGTCCATAATTTCATTATATTTGAAGTAGGATTTTAAAAACTTTTTCAGCAGAAATGATCGCCATATTGAGACGACGTGTCGCGCGCAAACATTTGGCTCGCTAACTTGAAGGTCAAGGTCACAGCATGAAACTTGCAGCAAAATCGTGTCCGGTCCTAATATCATTGTTTGAAGTCAGATTTTAAAAATATTTTTCACAGAAATGATCACCATATTAAGACGACGTGTTGCACGTAACATTGTGAGTTGCTAACCCTTGAAGGTCAAGGTCACAGCATGACCTTGGCAGCAAAATCGTGTCCGGCCCATAACTTTGTTATTTGAAGTCGGATTTTAAAACTTTTTCACAGAAAATGATCACCATATCCAGACAAAGTGTCGGCGAGCAACATTTTGGCTCGCTACCTTGAAGGTCAAGGTCACAGCATGACCTTGCAGCAAATTTGTGTCCGGCCCATAACTTTGTTATTTGAAGTTGGATTTTAAAACTATTTCACAGAAATGATCACCATATTGAGATGATGTGTCATGCGCAACATTTGGGTTGCTACCTTGAAGGTCAAGGTCACAGCATGACCTTGCAGCAAAATCATGTCCGGCCCATAACTTTGTTATTTGAAGTTGGATTTTACTATTACACAAAAATGATCACCATATTGAGACAATGTGTCGTGCACAACATTTGGGTTATTTTTACACTTTGAACTTTGTCTGTGACATAACTCTGACACTACAAGAGGTATACCTTCCTGTGTCCAAAACCTATTCGGGGAGCATCACCCGGTTCAACCGGCTCTTGTTTTTTATATTTTCATATAATAAAATATTTTAAAAGAATATTTAGAGAGTTTTAAGTGATTTAGTATGAACATTTATAGGATGAAATTTTTTTTTCCCAGAATATTATCTACTGTATATAAAGTATCAGATTTTTTTTCTAACACTTACCAAGAACGTTTATATATAATTTTTTCATTGGTTTGTTATCATATATGATACTTAATAATAACATGGTATAATTTTAATATAAGTCACTTTAACACTTGACTGGAAAATAAGACTATGTACATGTAGGCTTGCTCATGATGTTGAAAGCCAAATTGATTGATTGTAAAATGTAAACTTTTGTCTATTTTTAGCATCAGATGATCTGAAAGACTTCCTTTCGAAAGCTAGAGATGGACATTTGAGACTGATCAAGATTTCAATTGCTAATGGTATTTATATATTAGGTTTATCTGTACCTTTCTAGAATTCTATTTTTAGTTCAACCCGCATACATGTATATAGGAAATACTGAGTTAGTTATAAATTTAAGAAACAAAGGTTTTTATTAAGAAATTGAATTGTATTTTGGTGTATTCAGTTATGTTTCACCATGTATAAGTGTGAACAGTATGCGTGTATTACTGACATTATTTTTAATTTTATATGCTTCAATTACATGCATGATAATATTTACAAATTTAGTAGTTTCCGTAAGTTAAACCTTTTCCCTCATATAAGCGTGTTTCAACAGCTTTTTGCCCCCCCCCCCCTTTTGAGGCCTCAAACAGTGAAAAAATGCCCTTTTTAGTCCCAAACACTGGTTTTCGTTTGAGAAATGTTGTTAAAAAAAGTGACCATTTTTCGGCGCCGTTCCCCATCCAAATGTTACATCAGGGGGTTGCCAGAAGGGGGCACGTTTGGGGGGTTTGAAGGGGGGGCGGAGTCCCCTCTCATCGCCAAGAAAATTTTGGACATGTGACAGGCTAAAAATGACCTCAGGCCGATCTTAGGGTAACTAGTAACAGACGCTGAAAAGCCTTTTACTCTATCTCAATTCATTGAGAAGTTGCAGCACTTTGAAATCAGTTTTGATGGAAAAAAACAATGCAAAATAGTGATTTTTGGCTATTTTGAGACGTCCCCCCGTTGGTAACAGGCAATTTAAGATTGAGCATGCTGTTACAGAGACTATGGTGTAGTCAACATTTGTGCCAAGTTTCAACTTGTAACAGGAGGCTTTTCAATGAAAAGGGCCATTTTTCGCAATATGCTCATGGGGTAAAAGGTTAAGCATTGGTACATATTGATTCTTCAATTTTATTACAAATCTTGATTATTTATAATTTATATTAAAGTTTAGAGCATGGAATTTTTCTTCAATTATTTTGAAATCAATTCGTAATTTATAAATGAACATTATTTGCTTAATTTTAAAGTTGTGCCAGTTGACTCACATTTACATGTATATTTCAGAAAAACTTGAACTGTCAAATAGTGAATCACCATCAGGGACATGGGAAGAAGATATCCTTTTTATATGTGTCTAATTATCCGTACCATATTGAAATCAAAAGTGACTTAAGCCTTTGCCACCAGTATAGAACCAGGCCAGTCTGTACATCCATGCTGTCTAAACCAGGCTCTATAATGTTGATACATTGTAGCTCAAATTTGTATTTTGATTTTGAAATCTCTTTAACTTCAAATGGACTGTTCTAAATTCAAACCAGTGTAAATCTGTTACACTGATTTAACAAGGGTTAAATGATGTCATTGATTTTGTTGCCCACACAATTCATGCTATAGCATTTCCTTTATATCTGTCTTTATTTGTTGAAAGCTTGACAGTCTGAATGTTAATTGATAATTGAAAACTATCTTAATTATTTGATACTAAGACCAAAACACAGTCTTTAGAGCTGCAGTATACCCTTTAATTTATAATGGTAGTTTGTCTTAAAACCAAACACAGAACTATTGCAAGAAATAAACTAAACACTTCATGAAATAACTTGCAATAACAGTACAAGCAATATTGATTTGTTGTCATCACAGTAACAGTGCTAGTAAAATGGTTTATTTGTCTAAACACCAAATGCAGTATGAAATGCACAGTAGTAATGTATAATTATGATATTTGTAAACAGAATGAAATCTACAGTTAGTTTAAACATATTTATTTAAGCTCCATTGCGAAACAAGTTCTTGCAACTTACATTAATCACTTTTGCGTCTGCCTCCTGGAACCACACAGTACAGGTGTCATTTGAAGAAACATGGTCGTGACCTAAGTAGTGCTTGAACCCATGATCTCTGGGTTGAGAGGCAAACACCTTAACCACTAGGCCACCACTCCCTTTGAATGTACTGTTACAGTGAGTGTTCAGTAATTAAGTCTTAGCCTGATGGAGGTGACAGAATCTTCATGGTCTGCACTGTTTGCTATTCAGTTACTGTTGAACATATTTTATAAATTTTCCTAAAATAACAAATTGCTAGTCCATATTGAAAGAAAGTACAAATAAGGTATATAGCTTGGTAAGGGTTTTTATTGCTAATTTGTCTTAAAAACATGCATTATTAACAATAAAAGTATTATTTACCTTAATTATGAGAACATTATGACAATTTAGTGATACCTCAACTTGAGGAGAAGCAGCCATGTTACATCATGTACAGAATGGACTCCAAGAACAATCAGGGATATGAGTGGCTATTTATAGCTTGGTCCCCAGATTTCTCACCTGTAAGTTTATTTATTTTTCAAATCACATTGGTTTCGTTATATAACCAAGATTAAATAGGGAATTAAGGAAAATGTGAGATAGTCTAAGTTAATTTCTCTGATAACAGTTGCATTATTTCACTTTCTTGCTGCAGTGTAAATCATCTGACAAAGTGTACCACATATATAGTAAACTCCAATTATAACTATATATACCATTTATAACGTTGATGTTGCCGCCATACCAACACTTGTTTTCAAATTTGTTGCCTCCCAGGTATAAAAATATCTGAATTTTTACAGTCCCCTGAATAATGTTAAAAGCAGAGTTTACCGTAGTTTGCTAACACAATGATATAAACATTTAATTTCAATAAAAAATGTTAATTATAATTATTACCTGATATCTTATATAAATGTAATTTGGTATTTTTAACTGTTTTCTGAAATTCTAAAAACGTCAACGTTCGCGAACTGTTGACCGGTCAACAATTTTGACTGTTTCCCTAGCGTGATCTGACGTCATTGACGTCATAGAGGATTCCCAATTGAAGCGTCCATCGATCATGATCATAAACCAGACGTGACGTTACATAGTTAAAGTATTAAGTTTAATTATTAACATATATGCAAAACTATATTTTTTTGTTGCAAGTACTGTTAAAACAGTAATTGATCAGGTAATAAAACAGTTATTGCATACGTGATTTGGGAACAGTCAAACAGTTGTCCCTCGGTGTCGGGGATAGTGTTTTGAACTGTTGCCCTCGGCCTACGGCCTTGGGCAACAGTACAAAACACTACCCCCTCCACCTCGGGCCAACATTTTGACTGTTCCCAAATCGCATATGAAATAACTGTATAATGATATTATCATCACATATTGATGTAGGTAAGAGAAAAGATGTTGTACGCTGCAACAAGGTCGACATTGAAGACAGAGTTTGGAACAGGAATTATCAAGAATGAAATGTTTGGAACAGTTCAGGTATTTTTGTTGACTTTTTGAAGTTTTTAGTCACTGATTCTTATCCCTTCAATAATTGCAAAGCGCAATGAAGACAAAACAATGGCACCAACACAGCTGATAAACAATTCTTCTTTTTATGCTCCCCGAAAAATTTCAGGGGAGCATATAGTCGCCGCCTTGTCCGTCCGTCTGTCCGTCCGTCCCCTTTTCTTGTCCGGGACATAACTTTGAAACAACAAGAGGTATCAACATGAAACTTTGTAGGTTGAAAGATCTCATTGAGTAGGTGTGCAGTGCACAAGAACCGTAACTCTGCCTTGCCTAATTTTTTAATAATTCCCCTTTGTTTATTTTTACAGTTTGAACTTTGTCCGGGACATAACTCTAAAACTATAAGAGGTATCAACATGAAACTTTGTAGGTAGATAGATCTCATTAAGTAGGTGTGCAGTGCACAAGAACCGTAACTCTGCCTTGCCTAATACTTGAAGAATTATCACCCTTTGTTTATTTGTACACTTTGAACTTTGTCCGAGACATAACTCTAAAACTATAAGAGTTGTCAGCCTGAAACTTTGCAGATAGATAGATCTCATTGAGTAAGTTTGAAATGCACAAGAACCGTAACTCTGTCTTGCCTAATTTTGGAGTTATTGCCCTTTGTTCATTTTGACACTTTGAACTTTGTCCGGGACATTACTCTAAAATTATAAGAGATATCAACATGAAACTCTGTAGATAGATAGGTCTCATTGGGTAAAAGTGCAGTGTTTAAGAATTATAACTCTGCCTTGCCTTATTTTGAAGTTATTGCCCTTTGTTTATTTTTACTTTTTTACTTTTGTCAGGGACAATTTTTACTTTTTTACTTTTGTCCGGGACATAACTCTATAACTATTAGAGATATCAACATGAAACTTTGTAGGTAGATAGATATCATTGGATAGAACTGCAATGCTTAAAAAATCTAAACAAAGCCTTGTCTTATTTTGGAGTTATTGCCCTTTGTTCATTTTTACACTTTGAATTTTACCCGGGACATAACTCTGAAACTATAAGAGATATCATCAAGAAACTTTTTAGATTGATAGATCTCATTGAATAGAAGTGCTGTGCAAAAAAACATAACTCCGCCTTGCTTAATTTTGGAGTTTTTGCCCTTTGTTCATTTTTTTGTACTTTCCTGTGTGGGAAAAAATTTTTCCGGGGGGGCAAACCCCCCCGGTTTTTAACCAATTTTTATGTTGTTTTTTTTCAAAAGAAAGGGACAAGTTTGGAAAAAATACAAAGGGTTTGGGTCCGGGGGGAAAGGGACAGTGATTTAAAGGGAGGGAAGGGTTTTTAATCACTGGTTTAAATAATTGAATTGTATAGGCCCCCTTTCAAAAAACCCCGTTTCCCAATTTATATGAATTTTGGTTTTACTTGGTGGGGGGCCAAAACAGGGGAGCTGAGTTTCAAAACCCATGCCCCTTTTGAAATTTTAATTATTTGGGATAAAACCCTTAAAACCCAAAAACCCCCTTTTAAAAGTTAAAAAACCTGGGGTTTAAATTTAAAAACTGGGAAATTCAAATGGATTGGTTTTTTTAAAAATTTTTTACTAAGACTAGAAAATTACCCTCTGTCAGCATTTCCCAAACACCTTTTTTAAATTTTTGGATTTCAAAATTTGGGAAACTCTAAAAAATAAATGGGAAAGGGAAAGGGTTTTAAAATTTTAAAAACATTTAATTGAAACCCTAAAAAAGGGGGTTTACTTTTTCCAAGGCCTCCAAATTTTTCAAAAATGGTTTTTACAGAATAAAAGGGCCCCTTTTTAAACTTTTAAAAAATTCTACAAATTTTCCCCAAAATTCCCCCTTTTTTTTACTTTAAACCCCTGAGAAAAGTAAGAAAAAGGCTGTTCCCCTTTAGGAGGGCTCCCTTGGTTTTTTAAAAAGTCCCCCTTTGGGATGAAAGAAATCGGGAAAATTTTGACATTTTGGGTTTTAAAACCAATTTTCTTTTTTAAAATTTAAAAAAAACAGAAAATTGACAAAACGTATGAATATAAAAAACCCTTTTAAACTACCCCGTTTTAAACCTGTAAAAATAAATTTTAAAAGAAACAAATTTACTTAAAAATTACAGGAAGATATATCTCTGGCAGGATATAAGAAACATTTGGTCGCACAGAATGCTAAAGCTCCACTTACTGCGGCAGAGGAGGAACTCGAGTTTATCAAACAATCAGAGGTATTACATTAGTCTAATCTCTCTCTCATCAACATGTATAATTAATATAACAATTCTCATTTGTCAGACTAATAAATTTATATTTGTCAGGCTTAAAAATCCATATTTGTAGGACATAAAAAATGTATTTTGTCAGACATAAAAAAATCAATATTTGTCAGACTGATAGATCTATATTTGTCTGAGTGATAAGTTTTTTATTGTTAGCCTTATAAAAAATATTATGTATTTGTCAGCCTTAAAAATCTATGCTTGTTGGACTGATAGATCAATATTTGTCAGTCTTATAAATTTTATTAATAAGACTAATAAATCCATATTTGTGAAACTAATTAACATTTTTTTTTGTTTTTGTTTAAACTTTTAAAATTTTTTTTGGTGAATTAAATTTGGGGGTTTTTTGGGAAATTTTTTAAAGCCCTTCTTAAAAAGGGATATGTCCCACAAATTAAAAATACTTTGAAAAGAAAAATGGAAAAATTAAATTTTGGTTTTCCGGGGAAAATTTTGTTTGGAACTTTTTGGTGGATTTTTATTGGGGCCTTTTTTTTTTTTAGTAAAAATTTTTTCACTCTGGGAAAAAAAAGTCACCCCTTCGACCCAAAGGGGTTTAGGAAATTTTAAAAAATGGTTGATGGATTAGTCAGTTGTTGGCTAATGCCTGAACCAATGTGTGAATAAATATTTGTGGTGTTGCTACAAAGTTTTTCCTCAGAACCTTTCAGTTTTAGCTTGACTTTTCAATGAATAAAGGGAGCTATTGTAGTCACCCAGACTTTCGGGTAATATTTTTGTTAAGTTGGTATTTCCAAAAACTATTGAAGAGAAGTGGTTTAAACTTTACACAATTGTTTTATGTCATTATCTAACATGATGGGCATAGGTCCCATAACTATTGAGATACCATTTTACAGAGTTATGTTCCTTTATTTAATGTTAAGCACTGAGAATAATCAAGTGGGCTGTCTTATGGACAGTGTTCTTGTTATAAAATGTCCTAACTATGAAAGATATTGAAAGATCTGATATCAGCAGTATCTAACTATGGTTTTATAAAAGATAACTGACTTGACATTATGTATGAATGTATAAATACACCTTCCTCAGCTTTGTATATGTATGCTGTATAACAAATATTATACTAACATGATATCACTTTAATAAAAAATAGTTTTGCCATTAAATAATCATGTATAATTATACCCTGTATAAAGAGGTAACAAGTAAAATAACCACCTTGCATTTTAATAATCATTATTTATCATATAACAAAGATTATATTAAAGATACTAATATATAATATGTCTATATGTTATTATTACCTGCTTTTAACTTTAGTTTGTCATTGGTCCATATGTAAGTAGATTGTCTTAGCCTCTATAGGCATGGTCTATACAAGCATGAACTAGCTTACATTTTCTGTTTGAATCACATAAACTTTATATTTATATATCATAAGTGAATACCTCCAGACAAATTATGAGATCTTTTTTTTTCCAAACATTTTCCACCATAAGTGCAACTCATTCTAGAAAATATTAGCTTTTTGTACTTTTAGAGACTGGAAGATGAACCATGTATCTGTTCTAAACTTGATTGACAACTATCAAGCTACATGTATCAAGCTACGATATTGGATCACAGTTTAATATTGTAGCCTCTGATTGGCTGATTAGTCATTCTGATTTGAAATTGACCAATGAGAATGGTTTTTCTTCAGTGACTGGTTGACTGTTATTGACCAATGAGAATGGTTTTTCTTCAGAAACTGGTTGACTGTTATTGACCAATGAAAATGGGTTTTCTTCAGAGACTTGTTGACTGTTATTTACCAATGAGAATGGTTTTTCTTCAGAGACTGGTTGACTGTTATTGACCAATGAGAATGGTTTTTCTTCATAGACTGGTTGACTGTTATTGATCAATAAGAATGGTTTTTCTTCAGATACTGGTTGACTGTTATTGACCAATGAGAATGGTTTTTCTTCATAGACTGGTTGTCTGTTATTGACCAATTAGAATGGGTTTTCTTCAGAGACTTGTTGACTGTTATTTACCTATAAGAATGTTTTTTCTTCAGAAACTGGTTTACTGTTATTGACCAATGAGAATGGTTTTTCTTCAGAGACTGGTTGACTGTTATTCACCAATAAGAATGGTTTTTCTTCAGAGACTGGTTGACTGTTATTGACCAATGAGAATGGTTTTTCTTCAGAAACTGGTTGACTGTTATTGACCAATGAAAATGGGTTTTCTTTAGAGACTTATTGACTGTTATTTACCAATAAGAATGGTTTTTCTTCAGAAACTGGTTGACTGTTATTGACCAATGAGAATGTTTTTTCTTCAGAGACTTGTTGACTTTTATTTACCTATAAGAATGGTTTTTCTTCAGAAACTGGTTGACTGTTATTGACCAATAAGAATGGTTTTTCTTCAGAGACTGGTTGACTGTTATTGACCAATGAGAATGGTTTTTATTCAGAAACTGGTTGACTGTTATTGACCAATGAGAATGGTTTTTCTTCAGAGACATGTTGACTGTTATTAACCAATAAGAATGGTTTTTCTTCAGAAACTGGTTGACTGTTATTGAAAAATGAGAATGGTTTTTCTTCAGAGACTGGTTGACTGTTATTGACCAATGAGAATGATTTTTCTTCAGAAACTGGTTGACTGTTATTGACCAATGAGAATGGTTTTTCTTCAGAGACTTGTTGACTGTTATTTACCAATAAGAATGTTTTTTCTTCAGAAACTGGTTGACTGTTATTGACCAATGAGAATGGTTTTTCTTCAGGGACTGGTTGATTGTTATTGACCAATGAGAATGGTTTTTCTTCAGAAACTGGTTGACTGTTATTGACCAATGAGAATGTTTTTTCTTCAGAGACTTGTTGACTGTTACTTACCAATAAGAATGGTTTTTCTTCAGAAACTGGTTGACTGTTATTGACCAATGAGAATGGTTTTTCTTCAGAGACTGGTTGACTGTTATTGACCAATGAGAATGGTTTTTCTTCAGAAAATGGTTGACTGTTATTGACCAATGAAAATGGTTTTTCTTCAGAGACTTGTTGACTGTTATTTACCAATAAGAATGGTTTTTCTTCAGAAACTGGTTGACTGTTATTGACCAATAAGAATGGTTTTACTTCAGAGACTGGTTGACTATTCTGGCTATGTCTGTAGTATATAAGTATTATAAATAGTTCTTCACCGTCCTCTTTTAATTCCCATGATCATTGTACAACTATATCATAAATGTATTTTGATTTATCTTAACTCACAACATATTGGTAACTGTTCATTTAATTGAGCGTCCCAAATGATATACTTGAATGAAGCTATAAATATGTGAGAAACTAGTAGTACTATTAATAGGTACTATCAATAAATAATTGTAATTTGTATGAAGAAACCATTTTCTGACATTTGTGTTGGGTGGTCTTTTAATACAAGATTAACGGTGTTAATTAAATGACCAATAGCAAAGTTATTTGTGAGAGTAAGTTACCTAAATATATTTTCTTTTTGAGAAATCTGTTTTAACCTTGGATTTAAACTAAATTTGTATATACAGTACACTTGTAAATGTAACTTTAGCATGACTTATATTGGTAGAATTTTTTAATTATTTGAACTATTTTATTTATGATTTTTTAGAAACTTGAGATGCAGGTACTGTTAGTGTGTGATAATTGAGAGAAAGAAGAATGTGTTACTAATTTGTTAACAGGTGGTCAGTCAATTTTTTTTACAAGAATTTTATTATTATTATTTTCCTTTATTTTTACAAATAAAAGGTATTGAATTCTTAAACTTATAGACATGAATAAGGCTTAGCAGTTTTTTTTTTTAATACAAATTTTGTTTACTGTTGTAAGTCCAAAATTTTAAGACAATCTGATTTGTTAAAGCATTAGCTGTGTTGAATTTGTTGAAAAATGTTTTCTTAATAAATTACATTTAATATTTATATTTGCTAACTTTCTGATAATTTTTATTATCTATTATTTATTTATATAAATTACAAATTTGATGTATAGGGATTAATGTTGACCATTTTAACATAATTTTAATGCATTCTTAAAACTAGACTGTCTAGTTTGTGTGATTGTAAGAGTTGTTGTTTATAAACAGTTGCTTTATTGTTGTTTATAAACAGTTGTTTTATTGTTGTTTTTAAACAGTTGTAATGATTGAAGCTAGTTATTTTGTACATGTATGTAGATTTTGATGTAGATATTTTTGAAGATGATATGCATATTGTAAACAATGCATACAAATTATTTGTGTTATAATTGAAAGATTTTTGGTGAGTTGTTAAGAAAGTGAATATTGTTTGGATTATTTGTTGTCTGGACTGAAAACCACTGTAGTCTGAATAATTTTCTAAATCATACCAAAAGCTTTGGCTCAGAAACTAAATGTTGAAACAAGTTTCACTGTATAGCTACAAACTGTAGATTATGTTGTGTTTTTTTATATAATATCTTAGTGATTTTTTAAGTGTGCCACTTTCCCTTGTCCTAAAAGTATATATTTTCCCCAGATTTCTGAAAAAGATTCCCCTCCACCAAAGAAGAATTTTTAAAAAAAATTAAGATTCAATCTATTGAAAGAGGCTCATTTCATTGAGGTTTTAAATGATAATTGTTTTGTATGTAATCAAATTTAACATAAAACTAACTTTTTTTTTTCCTGTTATAAACTTTCCCCTATTTCCCCTCTGAACTTTATGACTTGCCTTCAAAGTCCTTGTTATATATATTTTGACTTGCAAAGTGAGTTGATTTTAATTACAAGTACATTCATTATGCCTCGTAGTGCTTTCTTATCAACTACTTTGCATTCTTCTAAGCTAAGCCAAGCCAAAGAAATAAACAATATTATGCTTAAAATTGTAAAATGGATTTTGCTCTGCTTTGAAATTAGAACAGTCCATTCAAGGTTTAAGGAATTTCAATATTCAAAGTACCAATGTTGAGCTACCATCAAAATCAAGCCTGGTCAGACTCCATGGCAGTGCAAGTTGGCCTGGCTGTTGGCTCGATAATGATGGCAAAAACAGGTCAACTTTGGTTCCAGTAGTTTAACATTTATATGGTAGTGATTTATGCATGTGAAATACCAAGTGTCTTCAATTGTGCATAAATATACTTAAAAATAAATATTTTTTGAAGGAATATGGTAATTAGTCTTAAACTCCTGCATTTTGATTGGTTTGTTTTGAGCAAGAAATTTGAAATTGTCCAATAGTAGAGTGCTACATGTATATATAGTGACTGATTTCAATTTTTCTTGGTTTATCTTGTATATAAGTCTGTTATGTGGCATGAAGTGGAATATATATCATGTACATTGTTGTTGATCTAAGAAATGTACTTGTCTGGAAAAAAAAACACACACACAAAAAAAACAAAAACAAAAAAAAAACCAAATGGGAGAATAGACAAATTGTTGTATGATAAGTTTGCATTTCATTTACTTCTCTATTTTTATAATGATTTGGTTTTATCATAGATTTCAATATGTTTAATTTAGTAGCCGGTCACTTTTGGAGAAATTGCTAGTTACTGGTTAGATATCCAGTAAATCTGGTCAGGTGGACAATGACAGCAAGATATGACCAAAAATATGTAAAAATACAGTTTAACAAAGAATTTACGACTGTAAGCTATAAAAATTTAGTGATATCTTTATCCTGTTCTTTTCTCAACAGGAACTAATAAATAAGGCCATTTATGCATGAGTTCTTTTTATGAGCATTTTGAATTGAAATTAATAAATCCAACTATTTTGAAAAAATCAGTAACATGTAAATCTTTCTCCTTTACATAAATAACCTTTGTACTAGTATTCTTTTTGTTCATGAATTCAAGTTAAAACTCTATTTTTACAAGAGTTGCCTAAACAAATATGACTGCTCCATTACTGGTGTAACTTTGGATGGAAACTTTCATGTAAAACTTTTGTTTAAAGAAAATTACAGCAAATACCAGTATTGAGTGGCAAACATGACCCAAGCACCTAGTGTCCTATTATATGTTGATGATAGAAAAATGTAAAAATCATAACCGAAAGATTTTAACAAACACATGGTCACTTGTGGACACTCTTTAAAACAGTTTAAATATGAAGTGACTCTTTTTAAAGTGTTTATTAATAGGCATGAATAGAGTAAGATAGCAGAATGAAAACTAACATAACAAAATATGTCATTACTATTTTATGATTTCACATAATTATGTGCTGCTTACTTCAACAAATCATTACAAAGGCCATTCTGTCACATTACATGAGGTACTTGGGTAAAATTTTTATAATGGATTTTCATTACAATACAATTACGATAGTCATTTGTTTTCAGACAGGGCAAATTTACCTTCAAATCCTATATAACATTATGTTGTTTGTATTTTCAGACACGTACAGACATTCATATAGACACTAAACATCAGACAATGAAGAGTTTATCTTTCCCGATCTCAGATGATGCCGCTCATAGACTTGTTGATTTTTTAAAAGGAAAAAAAATTACTAGTAAACTGGGAAAATTTAATTTCAGTATTTTTAAAAAAACACAATTGTTGTAAAAGGGGCGCTTTTAAATTTGGTCTTTTTTTTCTCTGGGGTTTTCTTTGTAATCCTTCTTTAAATTTTATTTGAAAAAAAAATTGTTTTTTTTGTCTAAAAAAAATAATAATTTTTTTCATTTAAAAAATTTCAAAAATTATAATGTTGTCATAGAGATAAGGTAACTTTAATGATTCCCAGAAAGAATGTGGTTTCTAAATGAAAAAAAAATTCCAATATTACCACATAAATAAAATTCTTATATTTATTAACTTCAATTAAGTTTTCAGCAAACTGAATAAATTCATTTCAGGAACTTTCAATTTCAATTACATTTTGTTCAGCTTTTTGTCAACATTTCTTAGTTTATTTACTGTAGTAAATTTAGTTTCTATTAATTTGTCCCCTTAATGCAGTAACAGGTTATCTCCTTATTTTATTTAAAAGTAGTTAATCAATTACTGCCAAAAAAGTAACAAATTATTTCATGTTGTATTATATGGTATAGGCCAATAGGGGGATGATACAATAGAAAAAGGGAGTGAATGAGGTGGACACCGATGAAATGCAGGGGGACCATACAATAGAAAGGGGGAGTGAATGAGGTGGACACCGATGAAATACAGGGGGGACCATACAATAGGAAGGGGGAGTGAATGAGGTGGACACCGATGAAATGCAGGGGAGACCATACAATAGAAAGGGGGAGTGAATGAGGTAAACACCGATGAAATGAGGGGGGACCATACAATAGGGAAGGGGGGAGTGAATGAGGTGGACACTGATTGAAATGCAGGGGGACGCCATACATAGGGGGGAGTAATGAGGTGGACACCGATGAAATCAGGGGGGACCCATACAATAGAAGGGGGAGGTGAATGAGGTGGACCCGATTAAATGCAGGGGGGACCAGAGTAAAATGAGGTGGACACCGTGAATGCAGGGGGACCAGATAAGTAATGAGGTGGACACTGATGAAATGCAGGGGGACCATACAATAGGAAGGGGGAGTGAATAGGTGGACACGATGAACAAGCAGGGGACCATACAATAGGAAGGGGGACTGAATGAGGTGGGCACCGATGAAAATGCAGGGGGGACCCATAAAAATAGGAAGGGGGAGTGAAGAGATTGACCGATGAAATGCAGGGGACCATACAATAGAAAGGGGAGTGAATGAGGTTGACACCGATGAAATGCAGGGAGACCATACAATAAGGAGGGGGAGTGAATGAGGTGGACACCGATGAATGCAGGGGGATCATACAATTAGAAAGGGGGAGTGAAATGAGGTGGACACCGATAAATGCCAGGGGGACCACACAATAGGAAGGGGAGTTAATACAGGTGAAAACCAATGAAATGCAGGGGGGATGATTCAATAGAAAAGGGGAGTGAATGAGGTGGACACCAATGAAATGCAGGGGGGGGCATACAATAGAAAGGGGGAATGAATGAGGTGGACTTTGATAAAGTGCTGGGGGATGATACAATAGAAAGGGGAAAATGGTATTATAAAAAACATACCTTGTAACAGTAAATATTTAATTATAAATTACAGAAGTTGAATATATCAGGAGAGAGTATAGAGTTAGCAGATTCTGGTGATGTTTCTATAAGACAATTACCATCTAAAGTGCCTACAGAAGCTGCCAGATATCACTTGTTTGCATATAAACATACCCACGAGGGAGATACCCTAAACTCTAAAGGTAAACAACTCTTTCTCCAGTTGTCCTGTAAATGAGGTAACATGATGAAAAGGTAAATATTGAAAAAATGTATAAGCATGTTTGTTACATAGCTTTTCATTGGATAATTGTGACATTTATATAACAAAGCTTTTCATTGGATAATTGTGACATTTATAGTTTTATAATAATACACAGCTGCTGTCAATTTATGAACAAATCACTTTTTTCTCTCCAAAAGGAAGCATGTTGCATTATAAATTCATTATAAAAATTCCTGAAAGGTTATATGACCCTATATAAACAGTAATTTACAATATAACCCTCGCCTAGTGGCTAGGGTGATATACATGCAAATAATTGTTTATATAGGGCCACATAAGCTGTCAAAAAATCTTTATAACTCATAATATAAAACATGTTTTAAGGAGACAAAATTACCTGTTGGAATGTAATTGGTTTTAGATACTTTTGCGAGTTTAAAAGCTATGTTTACTCAATATAGAACTTTTGTTTCTCTCATTGTTAGTATATAGAACATTTTGTTTGTTTCTGTGTAAAGTATTTTTCCTTGAGTAAACCTTTCAAGAGTGGTATTAATCTTATATATAAAACAAACAAGTTTGACCTCTTATTTATGACATCATTAAATTTTGACATTACAAGCAGTGATAAATTTCATTTTTGGAGCAATGTGATAAAAAATGCAGATGAAAATGTTAATTCAGTGTTTATATTGGTATAAATAGATTTCAATGTTTATATGGGTATAAATGTTCTATTGATATATATTTCAGTGTTTATACGGGTATAAATGTTTTATCAATATATATTTCAGTGTTTATTTACTCTATGCCCGGGTATAAATGTCCTATTAAAGAGAGAATGTTGTATTCAGCTTGTAAAAACACCTTCATCAGTCAACTAGAAGAAACGCTAAAACTGGAAATAGAAAAAAAGGTTTGTATTTATTTTTTCCCTATTTCTATAATCAAATTAAATTTTTTGACTAATGCTTTCTTCTGGTTAAAGGGTTTATAAAAGGGGGAAATGGCTTTTAAAATGCATTTTAGTACAGGGTACCCAATCTGGAAAAAAGGGAAAATTGTTGTTTTGGGAGGAAGCACCCAACCCTACTCAGAACAACGGTGGTTTCCCTCGGGTGCTCACTCTCTGATATCTAAAAATTAAGGTCTTTTCCACCCCCCATTTAAAAGCTGGAGAGTCCCCCATAATTGTTTTCTGCGTTTTTTTTAAAACTTTAAAAAAAAAAAAATTTTTTCAAACTAATTTCTTAAATGGCTTTTTTACCCTTTCAATCTAAACAAAATATTTATTTTGAGGAAAAATTCAAAATTATGTATGGACTGAATAGCAAACAGTGCAGATCATTATCAGGCAGCTTGGATATGTCAGCTGATTTTGGTCTGCACTGGTTGCATGACTTACAGTTTATGACTGAAAATATACAAGATCAAGTACATTTCATAAGCATAATACCATATTTTCTGAATTGTTTACTTTTAAAAAGGACTAAATTAGTTTAATTATATCTGTTAATGCTGTAGTTATGGTAACAAAGTTCAAAAATCACCATGTATATATTGTCGTAAAACTTGTTGAAAAATCTTTTTTTAAGTGCGGCTTTTATTACACTTTAACTTTAAAAAAAAATTAATTGCTATGGTCAAAGTTAAATTTGAAAGTAAGAATTCTAAAGAATAATTTGTTCTGTCTATTTGTACAGCTGGAAATAGATGATGCTAGTGAGCTTACTGAAGAGTTTCTTTATGATGAATTGCACCCAAAGAAAAATATTGCCACAATGAAATTTGAAAAACCCAAAGGACCTGCAAGGAAAGGACCTAGAAAATTGATAAAGACCACAAAATTGTGACATAGAAATGAAATGGAAAACAAAAGCCTTAAAAAAGGGAAAAATTTATATAAAAAAATTTAAAGGGCGGATAGCTTTTTTTTTTAAACATGGGGAATTTGGATACATTTTCCCTTAAGAAAAAAAAAATTTTTAAATTTTTAATTACCTAAACTTTGGGGGATGGTAAAACCCCTTTTGGGTTTTAGAGTAAATTAGTTTATGTTTTTAAAAATTTTTGAGGATTCTATTGATAAAAAAACTTGACGTCATAATGAAACAAATCAAATAAATTTTATTGACATTTTATAAAAGGGACTTTCCCTTTTCCCACAAGAAAGGGATTGTTTTAATTTGTTAAATAATATTATTAGCATAATTTCAAAAAATTTCCTTATAATGCTCATTTAGCTTTGTTTTCCATGCTTTCATATAATTCAATTTCACTGTGTTTAGGGTTTTTTTTTTTATCTTTTTTTTTTCTTTTTTTGGGTAAAATTAAATTTTGGGTTTTTTTTTTTTTTTTCCCTTTTTTAAATTTACCCAGGTGGTTAAATAAAAATAAAAATTTAAATTTTCTCATAGTTTTTAAAAATACATCATGTAAAAAGTTTTAATATTTGAAGTCATTTTTTGTTGGGATAAAATGGCAGGGGTGTGAATGAAAATTTTGGGGAAAAATTGCAATGGGTACCCGAAATTTTGGTTTTAAAATTTTTGCATTTTACTTTTTTTTTTTTTATGTGTGTTTTTGTTTTTTTTTTTTTTCAAAAAAAAAAATACTATATATTTTTTTGTTTGTTTAAAACCAAAAAGTTTTTTTGTTGTGTTGAGCAAAATTTTAAAAACCCTGCCAGTTAAATTTCTGAAATTTTTTATCATTTAAAAATTTCAATTCCCCATATTTTGTCACCCCAACTTTCACCCGGGGAATTTTTCCCTTTTTTTCAGCCACATGCTAGCCTGGGGTTCGGGGTTGAAAAGTTTTTTTCTTATTTTAAAAAATTTTTTTTTTTATTCATTAAAAATATGCCCCTTAAAAATTCCGTTTTTTGTTTCGTCGTTTGATATATCAACTTTGAAACAGAAACATAAAAAAAAAAATCAAAAGCTGGAAAACCCCCCTACCACGTTATAAATCAATTGCCCGGGCTGAAAACCATGGTTTAATTATTGGTTTTTACATTTCAAAATATTTCTTTTAAATTTGTGCAAATTAAATTTAAAAAAAGCCGCAACTGTTTTTAAACCCAGCTTTATTAAAATTTAAACCTTTTTTAAAAAATTTTTAATTTTTTTTTGTAAAAGGTTTTAAAAAATTTTGACTGAGATTTTAAAGGTGAATAATTTTCCCGAAAAAAAAAAAAAAAAAAAAAATACCAAAAAAAAAATCCAGAAAAAAAAAATTAAAAGTCAAAAAATCCCTGTTTTTCCAAAATTTAAATTTGAAATTCCCGATTTTATTCTCTTTACAATTTTTCCAGGTAGTAACTTATTGTTTGTTTAAATTTTGGTTTGAAATTTTTAACTTAAGAAATTTTGAAATAAACAAGACTAAAACAGTTGATTCCTTTTGAACAACCTGGGATAACCCTGACAAAAATTTTAAAAATTTTTAAATAATTTTTTATTTAGTAGTTTAATTTTTAAAATTGGGTTTTCCAAAGAAGTTTTTGGGATTTTTTGGGTTTAAAAAAGGTTTTTTTTTAGAGAAAATATTTTTAAAAACTGTTTAAAAACCCCCCTTCATTTTATTTATAACACACATTGTGTTTTTTTTTTTGGTATTGTTTTTCCCACTAAAGTTAAAGAATATTAAAATAAAAAAAAAACCCCTTAAAATTTCAAATTTTGGGTTTTTTTTCTTGCAAATTTTTGTTATATTTTACAAAAAATATCAAAAAAATAAAGGGAGTTCTTTTAACCCGTTTTTTTAAAAAATTTTTTTAACCCGTAGAGAGATTGGAAAAAAAAATTTCCAAGCCCGTTAGTAAAGTTCTTATTTTAAAACTTTAAAAAAAATTAAATAAAAAGTTAAAGAAACCTTGAATTTGGGCTGAACTTCAAAAGTATTTTAAATAATGCATTTCCATAGCAAAGTTTTTTTATTTATTTAAACTGTAAATCTACCAAAAAGCACTAACAAAAGGGGTTTTTTAAAAACCGGATTGTGGGTTTTTTGGGGTAAAAAAAACATTATACAGTTTTTAAGTAAAAATTTCTTGCCAAAAAATTAAAAAGGTATTTACCCGACTTAAACTTTATTTCTGAAAAATCAATCTTACCCCAAAATGTACAATTCTTCTAATTCTTGAGTTCCTTTAAATTAACAAATTTTAAGGGTGTAAAATTTAATTTTAAAACCCCCTTTTTTTATTCAATAAAATATAAAAACACTTGTTATTTTGAGGGGGTATATTGGTTTTTTTTACTAAATGTGGGAAAACCCATTGGGAAATTCCCGCCCAATTTAAAAAACCGTTTTGGGGCCCCTTTTTTCCAGCTAAAAAACCAGTTTTTTTCCCCCTTTTAGGTTTTCAATTTGAACCCAAAATTTTTTGGTAATTTTTAAAAAAACTTTTGGGTTTTTCCTATTTTTTATTTTTCTACAGTAAAAAAATAAACTAGCTTTTTTTAAAATAAATCTTGTCTTTAAACACTTTAAATGAACACAAGCAAAAATTTTTGAAAAAACAATGGAAAAGAATTGTCAATAAAGTCCAACCACTTCAAAGTGTTTTCTCTAAAACAAAAATCAAAGGTGAAAAGTATACAATTGAATTCATAAAAACTAGCTAATTTTACAAATTCTGAAGATTTGAACCACATTATTTAAATTCATGGGCTCATGGCTATGGTACATAAAGGTTACATGGCTTAAATATAAAAGACAATAAATGACTAGAAAATGTTTCCTCATTCAAACCTAACTGAATTATGGGACAGATCTTCTATAACAAGAACATAGAAAACATTACAAATTGACAATCTCATTTCCTGCAGAAAATGTCTGGCATTTAGGACTCTCATTTTCATGCTTATACATCTTGTTATATTAACAGTTCTAAAAATAACTCGAGTAGATTACCCACAATCGCAGGAAATGGATTTATCAGACTTGATTAGAATATTAATACCAAGACAAGAACATGTTCCTTATTCTGTCACATTAAGAGTTTGTAAATGGTGACCTTTTCCCATGCTTTTCTATATCACTATAAATAACAGACCTATGACAATAATCTTCCATCTAAATTGATATAAATTGGTACAGGAAATGCATGAGTTGCACAGTTTTCCCCCTCTGTATATAAATGTAATATCTGGCTCACATACCCAGATGAAGTTTTTGTTTCAAGTTTCATACACTATACTTTGTACTGCTGGAAATCAATGATGTAGGTGAGCTTTAATTTAGCCAAATCTGGATCGTAGATTTTACCATCTGATGAATGCAAACTGAGTACTGTGACAGTTAAACGATATGTATGCAGGCTTTTATTGACTTTATTCCTTTTTATATAGATCTATCCTATACATCTATGCTGTTGAATACACTCATATACTTCTCTATTGCTTGTCTCTTTTCACATTGAAATTTTCACTTAATTTGAACATTGTTTTCAATTCAATAAACGTAAATAAAATAAATAAATAGTGAAGAATTATACCAATGAAATTATAAAATAAGGGGATTGGACTAGCTTTTTACTGTAAACAATACGGGGGCAATAAGGGCCCAAGACCATGTTTACTGGAATTTTTCTATCTAGGGTCACATGGACCTTGTCACACGTAAATGCTTACTCGCACGAAGTTCTATAGTCCAAATCTGTCTTTTGACTACGACTTTCCCTTTAAATTTATTAAGTGTCTGTGTTGTGCAAAGTTTTATGGTGATAAAAGTTTTTTTTTATATATTTAAAAGGTATTATTACAAACTATTTGTTTAAATATAACATCTATTTTCACACTAAAGCACGTGCAGGCATTTTTCAGTGTTTAAAAAACATCCAATATATAAAAACGCCTAAAAATTGGAAAAAAATACAGTTATATAAGGAAATTTACAAAGACAATGAAAAATGATTCTTATATAATACAAGAATAAAAGGAAATTTAATCTGTAATCACACATAAAAAAACTTATTACCCAATTTATAATTCAGCATACAGTATGAGATAAATTTCTACCCCTTAAAAATTTTAAAAAATGAAAAAATTATCAAAAATTTCATTGAAAAATTATTCTAAAAATTCCCCCTAATTTCCCAATAAAAAATAGGGGAACCAAATGCATTATTAAAATGAATATGACAGAAAGAAAAAAGAATGCTTAACCCTCATAATTTAATCATGTTTGGGCATTACAAGGAAAAATTTTTTTTCCCTTAGTATAAAATTTCTTTTTTTATAAGCATGGTTTTAGGGGTAAAAATGGAAATGATATAGTATAAAAAATGAGTTTTTTCTTCATTTTACTTTGTATAACTCTTGCGTGAATATTTCCTGCACTTTTAACTCAAAACCGTGCATTATTCAGAACAACAAAACTCAAAATTGATTCTTTTTTTAATTATAAAAGCAAAAATGAAAAAAATTTGTTTTTAAAACATGGACAAAAATAAAATTTTTTTTCCCTTTTTTGAAAGTGTAGGCAAAACATGTAAAAATATAATTTTACGGTAAATTTTTTTCATGATTGTGAGGTGTGCATTCATAAAAAATTTAAAGAATCATAACCTCATACAATTTATATATAAAAATTATAATGTCAATTCTCCATTGTTGTTAAAACATTTAACTAAATACCAAAATTTCAACCAATCAGATAAAGTTCAATAAATCAGGTATGAGAGTTTCAAATTAACCAATTTAATTAACAAGGGGTTTTAAAAATTTAAACAATCCCAAAAATTATTTGGGTTAACCAATCAAAAAACAGAGTTTTTTGGGTTCAACAATCAGATCCCCTTATGACATGATTTTAAAAAATAGAAATTTTTCCCAAAGAGAATAAGGGGAAAATTATGTAAACATCTAAAATCA